GAGGAGGGCCGGGCGCCTCCCAGGGTGGGTTTTAGCTTGGGGCAGGAGAGGCCGTGGGAGCCCGGGAGGGAGCGGGAGCGTGGGGAAACTGCCCTCTCCCCCACGGTCCCAGCTGCATTTGAAGGCAAAGGGTCACTTACGGTTCCTGGCCGAGGAGGGGGAGGCCAGGGCCCTGGGGCTCCTTCCAGTCCAGGCCGCCTGCTCAGGTGAGGTGCCTCCCAGGCTGCCTGCCTAAGAAGCCTTAGAGGCCGGGGCTGTAACTCTTTCCTCCCTGCGGCCAATGCCCAGGCAGCAGGGGCGGGCTGTAGTCCAGATGGCAGGCCTGGGCGGGGACGGTGACCTCACCCTGAAATGCCCCAGTCAGGAGGGCCCCTTGGACAGGGGTGGGCCCCAAGCCACAGCGGAGGAGTCTCGGGCCCCTTCCTCCTGAGCTCCGGGGGCACCTCCTTGGAGGGGGTCGAGGTGGGGGAGGGGGTAGAGCACCCCAGCTCACCTCCCCTGATCTCCACCCTCCCTCCTCAGGAGCAGGTGCTTCTGCTCTCTCCTGGGACCCCTCATTCCCCTACGCCCCCTCAGCTGCAGAAAGCAAGGTGAGGATTTAGCATTCACGCCCCTTTCCCTGCAGCTGTGCCCACGACAGCACTGGGCCGTACAGAACATTCAGAAAAATGAACACTTCTCTGCCGATGGCCTGCACTGCCCTTGCTGAGGGGAACAAGGTGGCCAGTCCTGAAGGCCACCAGCTGAGACTGAGCCTGGTGGCCAGAGTGGGGTTTGGGGTCAGGAGGCCTGAAATTGACCAGAATGCTGCCACCTCCTGGCTGGGTGACTTCCAGCTTGTCACGGAACCTCTCTGAACTTCCATTGGTACTTGGGACAAATGGGGGTACCTGTGCCTGCCTTCCGAGCTGCTGGGAGGATGAGCCTTTGAGTGTGAGCCCACGGGAGACCACGCTGTAAGTCCCCAGCATCCAGCACAGTCACCAGCATATGCCAGGTGTTCTAATTGTTACTTAGAACAATTATGTGCCAACTGAGGCTGTCAAATGCTGTATAGTGCACTGGCTCCTCTCTTCTGGCAGGGTGGAGGGGTGTCCCTGCCTCTGACAACTGTCCTGCCCTCCACACCACCCTCGCCCCTTGTCCAGTGGTCCATCAGCTGGATGCTGACTCCCACCCTCTCCAACGGCCCCACGTCACCTCCATCTTCACGGCCTTGCCCCTCCTCCCACCTGCTCGGTGCCCCTGCCTCACCCCTTTCTCCCGGGACCCATCTCTTCCACTACCTCCCCCCCACCCTCAGCCCCCGCCCCCGCCCAGCTCCTGCCATTCACTTAGGTCCGGGGGCGTCTCCACCCTTGACCTACAGCTGCCGCTGGCCGCACGGCGCCTCTCCTCTCCCTGCCAAGCTTCTGAGAGTTGCCCACACGCTCAGTCCGCATCCTTGCCTTCACTCCTCTGCCTCCCTGCCTTCAGCAACTCCCTTGACCAGTTCCTGATAAGGAGGCCACTTCTTGTGGCCTCTTCTGATAAATGTTTAATGGCCTTAATCTAACTTCCCATTTCTTCTGGCCACTTCTCCTCAGATTCTGGGCCAGCGCTCTCCTGGTTTTCCTCCTTGTTTCCTGCCAGTTTCTTCCACTCAGGCTCCTGTCTCCTCCCTTTGTTACCCAGAAGCGGGGCCCTCACGGCTGTCTCAGGCACTGCTGTTCCCCTGCCCACACTGTCTCCCCACCCCTGGCTTCAGCATCACACACTGCATACCTTCTCCTGGGCAGCAGACCCAGCGACCCAGCTGCTTCCTGGACGCAGCTCAGCGGGGCCAACGTGGGCGGTTCTGCCCTGTTCCCCCCCCCCCCGCCTCTCCTGCCCATTGTCCCCCACATCCCCTTCAGTGTGTCACCTGGGAGCCTGGAGCTCTTCTTGGTTTCCCTCACACCTCCCTCAGCCCCTGAGCCACTAGGTCCTGCCAAGTCTACCTCCTAAATCTCCGGTCATCACCGAGTGCCCGGGATCACGAAGGTCCTCCTCCATTCTCAAAGCCTCGGCAACATGTGTCTTTTCTCAACACCCCCCCCCCCCCCGCTTTTTCCTGCTGAGAGCCTTCAAAGGGCTTCCGGATAAAGCCCAGGCTCCCGGTGAGAGCTCATGAGGCTCATGAGGCTCATGAGGCCCCGGCTGGCCAGGCACTCCCCATTCCCCATTCGAGCCCCTGTTCCTAACCCCAGCTGCACAGGGTGGGCGCGGGTTTGCAAGGCCCCGAAGGGGCCGCATCTCATATCCCCACCTCTTCCCATGCACTTGAGTGTAGCTGGATCACAGATGGCCTGTGCCGTGCTGGACTGAGGTATCTATCCCCTCCTGACACCCTTCTGTCCCAGATGGCGGGCCCCCCAGGGCCGGGGCTGTGCTTCAGTCACCTTCAGATCTGAAGGCTCACAAGGTGTTTGGCAGGTGTTCAGCCAATTCATGCTTAACGAACAAGTAAACGAAGGGGAGGGGTAGAACCTGCTTCTGTCTCCTCCAAGTACACAGGCAGGCTTGCCCTGACCGGTGTGGCTCAGTTGGATGGGCATCGTCCCACAGAGCAAAAGGTCGCCAGTTCTATTCCTGGTCAGTACACATGCTGGGGGTTCAAGTTCAGTCCCCACTTGGGGCGCATACACAAGAAGCAACTGAACGAGAGACAACCTATCGATGTTTCTTTCCCTTTCTCCCTCCCTTCCTTTCTCTCTAAAAAATAAATAAGTAATCTTAGAAAGAAAGAAAACAGGCAAGCTCACCTTTCAGGAAATGCCTTCTCTAAATGCTACCGTGAACAACTAAGAACAGAGTGGATTTTCCTTCCCAGGGGAAAACAAACTTCTCACCCCTGGAGTTTGTTGGGGACAGAGTGACAGGGAGACCCACAGCTGACACTTGAATAAAGTCTGGTTACAGGGAGTGTGATTTACATACACCACGCAAGGAGGAAACAGAACCAGAGATGCTAAGCAACTTTCTGAGGTCACACAGTGATTTAGGACCAGAGTGGACCAGGCAGAGCCTCCTTGCCAACACCCAAGGTCCACCTCTACCCTCCCTCAACATACCACTGCGACTGCAGGGAGCCTGCGGGAGGAGAAGTACACGACCCCACAGTGACTGTGGCTGCTTGGGTGACTTCTCAGGAGGTACCCGGATTTGGGGTCTTCTCCCCCTCCTTCTCCCACCCTGGTCCTGGGCTCTGGAGTGAGGTCCCTTGGGCAGCCCTGCAGAGCCCGGGCTCATGGGGAAGGGACTAGTCGACAACACACTCTTGCGCATGCTCTGTGCGGGACGCGGGGGTTCAGAGGGGCAGGCCAGTCCTCCACCTCCAGGGGTGCACCTCAGGGAAACAGACAGATGCCCCACCATCACCAGGGCAGAGAACGCGGAGGCCCAGGAGGGCGCCGCCAGGGATCTGCCCAGAAAACAGAGGGGTGCCGGGAGAAGGAGCGCCGGCAACAGCCACCCATCCCAGGGAAGCCGTTTGGCCGGCCGTCAAAGGCACCGGGCACCAGGATCCCTCCGTCCCCCGCCCCCACCCGCATCCCCGGGCTGGTTCGGGTCTGGTCCCCATCCGCCGGATGCTGTTCCAGACGCTGGCCACAAGGGGGCGGGCTGCCCCTGCGGGAACTCGGGCGAAGGCGGCGCAGACCCAGAGGAAGGGATGCCAAGTGGGACCCCGGCCACTCTTGGTGGATCGCCTACTACGCTTCAGGCGCGTCCACGCCTCACGCCGCTGAAGGCTCTCAACACCCTTAATCCTTAGGCATGGTCCTACGTTTACACGCAATGACACTAGGGCTGAGGGATGACTCGCTGGCCGGTGACTCAGCAGAGGATGACTCTGTAGCCTCAAATCCTGAGCTCTGCGCACTGTAGCCAGACGCGTGGAAGGAAGACCCCAGGGGCTTGCAGACGGGACCGCTGCCTCCTTCCTCTGGACGTCCCAGACTCATCCTGGCCCTTGAGAGGGATCAATACTTACTGAAATTACACCAACTACCAAGAAAGAAACCATAAACTTCAGGGATCATCCAGCCATCTAGCCCTCCCCCTTCTGGGCTAAAAAATAGGAAAACAGACCCCGAGAGAGGAAGCGAACGGACCATCGCTACGCAGCTGGGGGCAGATGCCTGCGCATCCGCATCCGCCTCCCCTCCCCTCCTGCAAAAGTCCTAAAGTTCAAGATGTCAGGCCGCCGGCAGAACTCCGAGGGATATAAGAGTTTTAAAAACGTGCTGTTTCCGAGTTCCCAAATTAACATAACTGGATTCTGAAGGGGGGGGGGGCACCACTGTGACTTCTTTCTGAAGGCAGCCTGTCACCATCAAGCTTTTGGTTTGTCTGTTCTTTAAAGAGGGAACCGAAATGTTAGAGGAGGCCAAAAAGGGAAGCAGACCCCTGACTTTCATATCCATTATCTCGTCCCACACCCGCCCCCCCCCCCCAAGCCCTCAAGTTCCTGTGAGAAAGGCGAAGCCTGCGGCGCGGGCTGCTAGTCCACGACCCGCTATTTCATGCCAGGTGCGTTTCTGAACGGTTCGGATTTGAGAGCGATGACCCGGCGCACACACCTTGCTGCCGTAGGGGGCGTATCGCCCCCCTCAAGGCCTGGGCCGGGGCCCTGTAATCAAGTTCATCTGTAGCAAAGCCTGAATAGTCACACTACATGGAATAAATAAAGACCCCCAATAGCCTCACATCGGTTCAAGTCAAATTTTGCCATCAATTTTGTTACGGAAAAACCCTGGGGCTCCAGGAAGCTTTGGGAATTTTGGAATTTCAGATAAGAGATGGTGAGCCTGTACCCCTCGTTTCATGGCTGAGGAAGGGGAGGCTCGGTGTGTGCGAGCGCGTCCAAAGCCGGCGGACACTGCTGCTACCCGTCCAGCAGGACGCTAAGCCAAAGGGGTCCCCTCGGCGCAGCCCCCTCCTGTGCTCCCCACCCCCGCCTCCGGCTCCCCGCGGCAAACCTGCTCCGGGCGCTCCTCCCGCGGCGGTCCGCGCACGTCCTCGATGACCTCGTACAAGTTCTCAGAACCGCTGCGCGCCAGGGGCCGCGGGCACACCCAGGAGCCCGCCACGCTGCAGGCCTTGAAGCGGCCGGCGCTCCCGAGGAGGCCGGCAGGGGGCGCGGCGGCGGCACGCGCCAGGTCGTCCAAGGACTGCGCGGCCCTCACCCGCGCCGCGGGCCGCGTGTACAGGCAGGTGGGCAGGCCGGTCGCCAGGCTGCTACGCGGGGTCCCCGTGCCGCGGCGCGCCGGGCCGCACAGGGATCCCGCACGGCCCCGGGGCTCGGCGGACATGCCGTCCCGGCCCGCATGCACCGGCGCGCTCACGAAGCGGTAGTCATAAGCAAGCGGTTCCGGGGCTGCCGGGCCTGGTTGGGGCGCGGGCGGCGCCGAGGCAGGGGCAGGGTCGCCGATCGCTGGCAGTTCGCGCACGTACTGCGCGGGCAGGTAGAAGGGGCGTCCGTCGGGCTCGCGCCGCACATGCCACCAGTGCTCGGTGCTGCGGCGTAGCAGCCGGTAGCGCTCGTTGGGCTGGATGGCGACGCGACCCCCGTCCTTGCCAGTGTACTCGAAGGGATGCTCCACCAGCACGTACACGTCCCCCTCGACGTCCGCCGCCATCGCGGCCGCGGCCTTACCCTGTGGACAGCAAGGAGAAGGGGCACCAAGGTCAAGGCCACGAAGCCGGGAAGCGCACCGGACTAAGGGGACGGGAGACTTGGGTTCCAGTGTCAACGCTGCGCTCGTCTTGTGCGTCTTGGCCTCAGTTTTCCTGTCTCTGAACGGGAGACTTGGATAAAATCTCTTAGGTTCTCATTCTTAAACACAGTGATGGAAATACGGCACCCCTTTCATTCTGCAGTGTTGATTTTAAGAGTTGAGCCTGGATTCAATTCGTCGGTCGGGAGACTGTGACTAATACTGGGACTTGGTTCAAAGAGATAGAGCAACGATTCTCAACCTTTTCCATCTCATGGCACACATAAACACTAATTACTAAAATTCTGTAGCACACCAAAATATATGTTTTGCCGATCTGACAAAAAAAAATTGGTATAATTTTGATTTATTCACACCAGATGGCTATTGTTGTGTTGGCTGTTCTCAGTTCTCAATTTGACGGTCTAAGGGAAAAGAGGTCAGTGTCCCTCTTTTGCATGTTTTGAATGTTTTAAAAATTCTTGCAGTACATCAGTGTGCCTCTTGGGATACACTGACTGAAAATCGCTGAGATAAGGTGATTGCCTGGAAGGAAGTCGACACCACAATTTGCCTAAAAGTTGACCGGGCCTCAGTTTCTCAGTCTGTCAAGTGGGAAGAACAGCCCATTCCCTACACCCACCCCCAGCCCCAGCCCCAGCCCCACCCCCGTTCCGCCGCCTCCAGACCTCAGGGAATGCGCGTCCACAGCGCCTCTCTCTCGCGCGCGCGCCACCGGCCGCTCAACCCGTGGGAGTGTCCCTACTCCGCTTAGTTCAAGAGCTTTGGCATAAGTGGCCTAGACTGCCAAGGCCGGGGAACCGGTTCTCTCGGTTTTTCCTTCCTTCTCCAGCGGCTGTGCCGCAGACGTGAACCCGGAGTCTGGCCCGCCCAGACCGGCCCGCACCGCCTCTGCTCTCCAGCTCCGGAGAAAGGCTTGGCCTTCGCGGCCTGTCTCCCCTGCGCTGAGGTCTCTACATTGCCCCCCCCCCCCCCCGAGAGGGGCCCTTAGAGAATGCACTCTGTCAGTGACTACTCGCGCGTTGTCCCCGGGGGTCTCAAAGGCTGTCCTGGAGTGATCACCACAGCCCCCCGCCCCATTCCATGCTGGCTTAGCTTGGCCTCAGAGCTTCACTCTAAATCTGCTTGTGTCCCTCCATCAAAGCATCCGTCGGTGACCTGCTCCGGAAGTGGCTGGTCTCTCCAAGCCTTTTACGCTACCCACACCTGGGACCAGCAGCTGGGAGCTCGGCTGCTTGCTGAGGTCCCACCGAGGGGGGCTCATAGAGCTCCTTCTTTACTTTGTCGAGCTTTTCCCAATGGGGCAAGCGGTGTAAAGTGAGTCACTGTTCACGCTGGGCCTTGGAGGCGGGGTCAGAGAGCTGCCCAGAGCGACTCCAACACACCCCAGGGAGGACATCCCTTCTCGCCACCTTCCCCTGACCTTCCGCGGCCCACTCACGTTGGCAGGGCGGGACTTCGGGCGCCCATGGGCTGGATGGGCTGAACCGGCGGATGGGTGCAGGTTAGGCCCCTGCCATCTCGTTGGGCCAGGATTCAAGGGCTAGGCTGGAGAGATTTCGGGTAGCAGGAGCTGGCAAAGGGAACAAAGAGGGAGAGGTATGCTCTGGAGGGCTGTCCCCAATCCCCAAAGCAGCCGTGTCTGGGAGAACCGAGGGGGAGCCTGAGTGAGTCTGTCTGTGCCGGCGCGGGCACTGGAAGCTGGTCTCGGCGCAAGAGAAACTACGAGGGAGGAGCACAGGCAGGGAGCGCAGCGACTGAAGGGGCGCTGGCGGGTCCCAGGCAGAAAAGGTAGAGCCCCGCCCCCGCCCCGCCCCCACCCTCCCGGGAGGGTCTGCTGTCCACGAGCCTCTGCGTCCCACGGACTGCAGGACCCTGGCTCGTAGTCTTGCCGGGGTGTCCCCAGTCCGAGCGCGGCCACTTGCACTCGGAACCACCAAGTACGAGCCGCTCCCAGCCGGGTTGCAGCCACTACCGCTCCAGGCCCACCCCCGCCCTCCCCGGACCTTTTTTCGGCGCCGCTGAGCCGGGCCTGGGAAAATTCGGAGCGGTGTTCCCTCCAGGGACGGCCACCGGAGCGCAAGGGCTGGGGCTGTGTGGGGAGGGACCCGGGTCTCGGCTCCGTTCCCGACTCCGGGGGAGCGAAGAGACAGCGGGGAGTGCGGGGAGCGAGGAGGACCTCCGGAGCGAGCGCGAGGACGGACCTGTCGCCAGGAGGTGCCCTGCCGCAGCGGCGCCAACGCCTGGTTTGGCGCCGGGGCCCTGAGCCTGGGCCGCTCCATTCCCCGGACGAAGGGCCGTCCTTTCCCCCCCTGTCCTCCGTGGGAGGGGGCCGTCCCGCGCGGCATCCTCCCGGGCCCGCGCCGCTCTGATCCCCGAGCGGGACGGAGAGGAGCAGGCGCGCGATGCTCCCGCGGGAGGATCCGCCACCTGCGGCACCCCACCCCCTACCCCCGCCTCAGCACCCCCCACCGGGTCTGGCCCGGCCTTGGCACCTCGGGGTGTCCACTCGCTAGCCTGGCCTCCACTTGTCCCGGCAGGGCGCGCGTGGGCTCGGCGTCCGGCGCTCCCTCCTCCACCGCCCAGCGACCGCGCTGCCGGGTTTCCTGTTCAACAATATAGCGAGGGAGGCACCAGCCGAGAGCACCAGGCAGAACTTCCTCCCGGGCTGGGGCTGGGCTGCGGCCGCCAGAGACAATCCCCGGTGTCCTGGCTTCCTGTCGCCTCTGGGCTGGGCCAGCGCCTCAGGAGCAGAGACGCCACCCCCTGCCCCTGCACATCCCGGGATGTTGGGCCACACCTGGCTGTCTTCTGGGAGCGGAGGCAGCAGGACCAGGATGGTGCGATGAAGGACGAGGAAGCCTCCTCACCGACTTCGGGCCAGATTTCCCTCCTACCGCTTGACCCTCCCCCCCGCCGCCCCCCCGACCCCCGCCCCACGACTCCCACCAACACGCACACTTCCTCCTCGATCCTTGTCGGGGAGGAGGGCCACCCTCCAAACTGCCTCTGGGGAAAGATCGGAGCAACCTCAGGCTGGGCTCAAGATCCTCGCCTTATCTCTGCATCTCTTTTCTTTCCTGTAAACTGGGGACAGTAACACCTACTTCATAGGATTGTTGGGAAGATTACATGAGATGCACTGAGGACAACTTTATTATTATCACATTATTATTATATTTTTATATCTTTTTAAAAGATTTTATTTAATTATTTTTAGACAGAGGGGAAGGGAGGGAGAAAGAGAGGAAGAGAAACATCAATGTGTGGTTGCCTCTTGCGCATCCCCCAACTGGGGACCTGGCCCACAACCCAGGCATGTGCCCTGTCTGGGAATCGAACCAGCCACCCTTTGGTTTGCAGGCCGGCCCTCAATCCACTGAGCCACACCAGCCAGGGCCACATTATTATTCTAAGAATACACAATATATTAATTATGATGATCACTACTTCTAAAATGAGATGAGCCATCCTCTTTGGGGTTGGACTGAGGTCTCCAAACCCCCAACCCTCCTTTCTGCAGGGTGGGGGAGGGGAGAAACATGCGCCTTCAGAGGCCCTTTGCTGAGGACGAAGGCGCCGAGTCCAAAGGTAAGGTAGGGTCACTTGTCCCTGGTCCTCTGCTGGACCTGCCTCCCCCCAGCCCTCAAACCAGGTTCCTCTTGTCTTTCTGGAGCCCACTCTGGAGGGATGTGAGGCCCTTGAGGGAAGCCGGGCTCATGGGATGGGCAGGGGGTACCCCCCATGAGCTGAAAGGACAGGAACCTGCAGATCTACGTGTCATCTTCCCAGTCCCATCTTCCTGCAACCCTATTTCCCTGAAAATTAGTGTTTCCTCCTTCTGTCCTCACAGTGGGCGGCGGTGGCCATCCCCCACAGGGGCCCTGGGCTCCTCTTGCACCTTCAGAGGGAGGTCTGCAACTGAGTGAAAGCCGCTGTGAGCCATCAAACCGCGAGCCCTCGCCCTGATTCGGGGCCCTGCTCAGGCAGCCTGTCCTGCAGCGGGATGTAGAGGCCTGAGGTCTCACATGTGCTAGCGTCGGCAGGGGCCTGTGCTTTGACATTTAAGGCACAGGAAAGAAGCCATGGTGGTGGAATCTCAGGCATCCACAGTGGTGGAATTTCAGGCATCGGCTGCAGTTTATACCTGTGAGTGTATGCGAGCAAACCTCCCAAAGGCCCTGAAATCTGACCCCATGGGGGCTTTGCCTCCTCAGTGTGGCAAGGGTGGGGTACATACCTCACGAACGAACGGGTGACTGCCCCCTCCTCTGTGCCCACTGCTGGCACATCGGCCCCCTGCTTGCAAACGTTTACCCCTCCTCCCACCCCCTCTCATGTGCGAGACACAGGGGAATGGAGGCCTTAACAGACTGGTTACGGATGGACCCATGGTCTCCCCCGATCAGCAGCCGTGTTATGATTCAGAAGCCAGACCAGAGATTAGAAACATCAGGTCTTTACTGCAAAATCATTCAAAAGTCACACAGCAGCAGTTCCTTCAGTACATTGCAAAGCACTTGTCAGGGCCAGGGCCCCACACTGCAGTTTATTGCATAAAATGACACTTTAAAAATAGTGAGGTTCACGTCAGCTTTCCATTGGAGGTGAGCGGGTAAGTCAGCTCATCTGAAAGCATCAGCAGCTTTGGGCGACGGGGAGAGGGTCGTTTTTAATGCTACTAATCTCTGGGAGGGCGGGGGTGGGGTGGCCTGAAGTGAGCACCTCCCGAGCCTCACTCCTACCGCCTCCTAGGGCACCTTCTGGAACACAGAATACACTCAGAGGCCCAAGGAGACGGGCCAGGCTCAGGTGGCACTGCCCGCCCCAGGCTGGGCTCCGGTCCACTCAGGGGTCGGGGCAATTAGGGCTCCGACTTGGCTGTGCTTGCAATGCAGCATTGATGCCGCCGTGAGGGGCTGGGATGAGGAGAGGGATCCACCTCCCAGTTCCAGAGGCTTTGGTGTGCTGGGTACAGGTGTGCACTGTCTTCGGAGAGGGGACACAGAGGCTATGTGGCAGTCCCCTCCCCCACTGCCTAGCACTTCCTCTGTTCTATTGCACAATTTATCCAGCTCCACAGAGCTAGGCAGGTGACTCAGCCGCCGAATCAACCCAAGGGGGAGGTGGGAGTAGGTTCATCTCTTGACAGTGGCAGGTGGCTCTCCACCGGAGGTCTCCAGTCGCGAGCTGAGTGTGTAGAAGACGGCCAGGGGCTGAGTGCGGCCTGCTGGCTCAGGAGGGGTGGGGGAAGGCAGCAGAGAAATCACACCCTGGCTCCCCCAAACCCCAAGGGTCTACATATTCGAAAACAATTCCAGAGTCCCACGCCACCCCACCCCTAGACCCACTCAAACGGTCATGGAGCTCCAGGGAAAGTTTCCAATCTCTAGCAGCGCCCCCCTGGGCTGGTCCAGCGAAGGTGCGTGAATCCATGGCTTTGTAAACTGAGGTGAAGCGCCCTTCCGCGGAACTCCTTCCGCAGGCCCCTGCACGTCTCAGCAGCAGGGCGGGTCACCGCTCCACCTGCGCGCTGCCGGCTCGCCCCGGGCTCACTGCCTTCTCTGTGGGTGCAGCCTGCCTCTGTCCCGGCAGGGGTCAGGCGGCAGGGGCGGGGCCCTGGAGAGTGCCCGCAGCAGCGCCCTGCCCCCGTAGGGCAGGAGAGAGAAGCGCATGGGGCTGACGGGTGGGCAAGACAGTAACCCTTCCCTGGACTGAGGGAGACGCAAAGTGCTGACAGTGCTGGTCTGAGTCACCCCCCTTCCCCTGCAGGGACCCAAATCCAGGCTACAGAAGAGCTGGGGGGCTCTGACACAGAGAAAGATGATGGGCTTTCCAAGCGGGGAGGCCGGGGACGGAAGACAGAGGGAGGAAGGGGTGGCCGTCAGCTGGACCGGCCTGCCTGGCCCGTTGGCACGTTGCACTGGAGCCGCTGGCAGCAGGCGTCTGGGGGGCGGAGGGAGCGGCGCCCAGTGCAGCCGGCGGCCGACCCGGCGCGGCTGGCCTGCCCAGCCACCCAGCCGTGCGCGGACCAGGCGTGGGCGGCACCTGCACATTTGCTCAGGGTGGGAATGCCTGGATTTCTTGGGCGACTTGTGTAGGTTAAGAATAAAAAAATATTTTCTGTTGGAATATGAAGGGAAAAAAAAACCCACCTTAAAAAATTAGACCTTTTAATCAGGAATGTGAATGTGAAAATGTGCCCCAAGTCTTGTTTCCACAGTGTGTGAACAGCCCTGATGGAGGCGCTGTGTGGGCGAGGTGAGCTGGGGCCTGGCTAGTGCGAAGTCCCCTGCCCCCAGCGCCCCAAACAAGGGGGTCTGCTGGTGTCCCCGCCTCCTGGAGCAGAACGGGGGGGGGGCGGGGGGGCGCATCAACAAGGGCTCCCTCTGGTAGCCCGTGCTCTGGTCAGGCCTGAGAGTCCTCCCCACAGGGAGACGGCTGTGACACCGACAGGGAGGAGCCCCGGCTGGCAGCGCTGACCCCTCACCGCGAGGCCTCTGGGTTGGGGACAGGAGTCGGGGCTAGGTGACAGTGTTCTGTTCTTGGTACTTGCGCCGGCGGGCACAGCGGGGGCAGCCCTTCACCACGGCCTGGCAGTTCTGGTGGAAGACGGTCTTGCATTCGCCACACCTGGGAGAGAGCGGCAAGGGCTGCTCTGACCACGGGCCTGAGGGCCCCTCGGCCTGAGGCTGGCCGGTGGTCCTGGGCAGGGCCCACAGCGGGCCGCGTCCTACACACAGCCCCGGCCCGCAGGCAGAACCTCTCTACCCGGCGGCCAGCGACTCTCCCGGCAGCGCTTACCCGAGGTCACGTGATCGAGGCACGCTGGTGCCCTGTTTCATTTTTTAAATAAATGCAGCTGAGACTAAGTGACTCCCTGCCCATGTTTAAGACACTGCAGCAAAGAAAACTCAGCCCTTGTCTGTTCAGGGGCTGAATCGGGGCCAGGGGACGCCTACTGAGAATGAATGAATGTGCCCACCAGTTCAGATTTCCACTCCCACGTGGGCTGGAATGAAGGGATGGTGGATGAATTTGTCCATTTAGAGGCGTCTGATAGTGAGTGATAACTGGGGACAAGAACGATCATGACAGGGGCAGAGGCAGCGGTAGGTGTCACCCACCCGGTGCCGACTCTGTGCCAGGCCTTGTCCAGCACTCCAGGGCAGTAACTCATTCGGTCCATCCTCAACCCCTAGATGACAAAGCTGAGGCCCGGGAAGTTCCCCGCCCCGTCCCTGCAGGGAGCCAACAGCGTCCTGTGAGGGCTTGACTTGTCCCCGGAGCTGGACGGGGGCTGGCCGTGACTGCCCAGGGCATCAGCTGTTCTGAACAACTCACCGCCCCGAGGCACGGGCACAGAGAAGATGCTAAGTGTGTCCTCGCACGATGGTGCAGGGCCTGGCACCCGGGAATGCTGGGGGTGGGGCAGCTGGCTCGGCGTCTTACATACCTGACCGTGGTGTCAAACTCAAAGGGGAAGATGATGTCATGGTGGTGGCAGATCTGGCAGATGAAGCCGCGCTGGGTGCAGAGGTCACAGTGGTGGACGTGCTGGGAGGCAAACTCAATCAGAGCCTTGAGGAACCCTTCATACGTCCCTTCTGAGATCTGTAGGGGCAGACGCAGGCCGCCGGGCCTTTGATGGAGCCGCGCTGAGGCCAAGGCCGTCTGCAAAACGCGGCCCACGGCGCCCTGCCCGAAAACCCCCTGCTCCAACAGAATTGCCCTTCCGCCCGGGCACGAAGTCCTCCCCAAATCCAGAAGCCCAACACAGGCACCGGGCCCTGTGCCCACTGGGGACCACGGGGTTGACAGATAAAACCCAAATCCACTCTTCCCTTCCTAAGGGAAGGGACGTCTCAGACTCTCACCCCTGGTTTTGGCCTTGGCTGAGGTGCCTGCTTGATGCAGGGGATTGGGGGCTCGCTCACTGCCCCAGGACGCGAGGGGCAGCGGGACGCCCACTCTGGGGTCCTGAAAGCCGAACGCCGCTGTCTAGATCCGGTGAGCTCAGGCAACGCCACCGTCCCTTCCATTTCTTATTTCTCCAGGAATGGGGTCCCCCTAGAGAGGTCTGGGGGGGATGACCTTCTCACCTGCTGGAGGTCAGCGACACTGTACTTGTGGGGAGACTCCAGGAGATAGTTCCTGTGGTTGAGCCTTCAAAGAAAACACAAGGTTCCTCAGAAGGTTTCCAAGCCCGGGCCAGCCTGTGTTTGTTTTCACTCCCTCAGCACCACCAGCCGACCAGGCACTGACACTTCCCGCCCGGGCGGGGCGGTGGCACGGAGGACAGTCAGCCGCCCTGGGCTGGAACCGGGGCTTCCAGGTGCCTGACTTGCCGTTGAAACCTGGGGCTGGTTACTTAACCTCCCTGAGCCTCGGGTTTCCTCACCTGAGAAATGGAGCTGTTTTGAGGATTAAATAATTTATTTAAAGCATTTGGCACAGTGCCTAGCACATAGTAAACAATGAATAATTACCTACTATAGTTGATAAACTTGTATTGCATAATTGAAATTTGCTAAGAGCAGAACTTGAAAGTGCTTACAAAAAATATTTATGAATAGCCCTGGCTGGTGTGGCTCAGTGGACCGAGTGCCAGCCTGCAAACCAAAGGGTCACTGGTTCAATTCCAGTCAGAGCACACGCCAGTTGGGGACTTGCGAGAAGCAACCGATTGATGTTTCTCTCCCTCTCTTTCTTCCTCCCTCCCGCCATCTCTGAAAATACATAAATCTTTTAAAAATATCTATGAATCAATCAATCAATCAAATAAGTAAATAAGGTGATGAATGTGTTAATTAACCAGATGGGAGGAATCCTTTCACAATGTGTACATATGGCTTAATCATCACACTGGACATTGTATTTTACAATTTTTTCAATTATATCTTGATAAGGCTAAAATATTTTTTTTAATTAAAAGTATAAAAAAATAAAATAAATGCCTATAAAAATAATAAGGAAGAGGATGAGGAAAGCTAACAGCTGGTACCAGGAACTGGGCTGAAGTACACGCATGTCTATATACATAAACTCATCCAACCTTCGCAATGAGTCTTTGAAGCCGGCACTGTTACTGCGCTCACGTTGAGAAGGCGCCGACACGGAGGCACAGAGGTTAAATGACAGCCAGTAAGTGGCAGGGCTGGAGTTCGAACGCAGGAGTCTGGCTGCAGAGCCTGCATCCATCCAGTGAATGCCTATTTAGCTGTGGTCATTATTGCCACCATCGCATATCAGGGACAGCGCTGGGGACAGAAATGCACGGGACGTGGCCCCTGCCCTCCTGCAGCCCCTGGCTTGGCGGAGGAACAGACGTTCAAGCGTCTGGTTTCGGCGCTACGTGAGAGGAGCGGAGACCCGCCCTAAGCACCACGGCGGATCCCATTTCAGAGGCGGCCCGGCCGGGGAGGAGGCAGCGGATGAGGCCCAACCACCACCTGGGCTCCGGTTTCTACCCCGCTAATGGCAGCGACCCAAGGTTACGTCCTGAGGGGCGGGGAGGAAACGCCTGCAGACAGTCCCCCCATACGAAGAAGCCTGCCGGCCCTGTATGTGTGTGCTGTGTGTGTGTGCATGCCCTGCGGTCCTGGGGAGAACATGCCCCACGTCTACGGAAGCTTGGGAACCTGCCCCAGGAGGCTCTGAACTTTCAGGGTCAGCGCGGGGCCAGGCCCTGGGGTGTCTGCCATGACGGCCTGGCCATGGCTCACTCCGCAGCCTCCATTACGGTCCAGGGAACCCCATCCAGGCTGGAGACGGCAGGCCCCGCCAAGCAGCCAGGCAGGCTACCTTGTGTCGTGTGGGGTGAGGACGCTGGCCACTGGACGCTCAGGTCGCTCGGCCGGTCTCCCTAGGAAAATCCCAGCTTTCTGGGAACAGGAAGCTGCCATTTATCACCAGGAAAACGCAGGGGACGGGGAGCGCACAGGCTGTCCCTGAGCTGGCAGGAAAGGCGGGGCTGATTTGGTTGGAGAGTCACATCTGCCCTCTGCTCACAGTCATGGGAGCCCCGGGGGCCAGCCAGGTCCAGGGCCCCTGGCAGCCGCCGTACTGTGGGCCTGTCACATTCAGAGAGGCCTTACAGCTGATGTGGGAGGAGCTCCCCGTTGCTGGTGGCAGCCCCCGTCCAGGTCCTCTGAGAGAACAAGGACCCCACACCCAAGACCTGCCCATTCCTCCTTGACCCCTCCCGTCCTCGCCCTCCATCCTGGACGACAGTCCAGGCCACCTCACTTCCCGGGTGAATTACCACAGCAGCTGCCGGACTGTCTTCTCTCCCATCCAGGCCAGAATGCGACAGTCCCTTGCTCAAAACCCTCCAATGGCTCTGCAGTGTCGGCAGAATAAAACCCCAACACCTCTGGCGTGGCACACAGGGCCTTCCAGGTCTGGCCCCCGCACCCGCAGGCCCCCGCACGGAGCCCCTCGCAGGTCCCCGCATGGAGCCCCTCGCAGGTCCCGGTGAGCCTCGCAGGTCCCGTCCCCTCCAGGCCACAGGCTGCCTTAGCTGGGAAAGCTGGCCCTCCCGTCCCCGCTCTCCTCCTAGTTCCCCTGAGCCCCAGTTTGCTCTGCACGGGATGCCACGCGGGCTGCGGCGGCGCTGGTCCGGTGTGTGAGGACAGAGGGAGGCCTGGAAGCGTGCCCAGCAGGACCGAAGGTGCTGTGAGGGGGTAGGGCGGTGCCCCAACTTTCTGCCTGATCTCTTTCCCACTGTTTAAACACTCTTTGCAAAGAAGAAAAGCATTCTTTTTCTCCTTCATGAAAAGAAAGAACTCCACAAACCCTCAGCTCAGATGCCACCTCCTCTGGCCCTCCGGGCCCTGCCCTGGCTGGTCAGGGGCTCTACCTCACGACACAGGCCACGCCAACTCAGGCCCTCTGTCCTCCTGTCTGTGCGCCTCCCCAGACTCCAAACCCTTCATGCAGCCTTCACCACAACTCGGGAAGACCACACGAATACAGGGATGACTCGCCCCCTGCTATAGACAAGCGAGCTGAGGCTCAGAAGGGATGCAACTTCCCTGAGTTGCACGGCGGGTCTGAGCCCCTGAGCCCAGGCGGAGGTGCCTCTCGTGCTTTCTCCTGCACCAGCTGCTTCTACAATGGGTCTCCCACAGTGGGTCGCAGCAGGTGCTCCTGGAGGCTGGGCACACAGCAGGTGGGCGGGGCTGGGGAGAAAGAGGCGGGGCTGGCCCCGGTGCTCCCCACAGGTTAGTTCAGACAGGTCAACGAGACTGAGGACCTGAGGACCGAAGGCTCTCAGCAGGGTGGGGGCAGGAGCCCCCCTGCAGGCAGCTGGTCTGCAGAGACTCCCTGACACCTGGGTCAGGTGACGAGGCCCCATATGACCCCAGAGATTTCCCCACACTGGCCACGGGGTCAGGGGAGGCAGGGGGACAGACTCTGGAGCCCCAGGTCCTGGACTCTTCAAAAGCAGGGGAGTGAGCAAAGACCCAGGCCCCCAGCGGACGGCCTCCAGAGGGCTCTCTGCTCTTCCAGGCCCTGTGGAGCAGACCTCTGCCTAAGAGAGAGCCCCCTGCAGCAGCCCCATCCTTTCTGAGGCCCAGGGGACCTCACCGGTTTCGGCCCTGGCCCCGAGGAGCCGGGCAGGAGAGGCTCTGGGAGAATGGCAGCCGGGTGGGAGGAGGCCCAGCCCACCAGACAGGCCATGTCTGCGAGGGCCCTGTGCGGAGGGGAGGCTGCAGGGGAAACGTGGAGGGGCCTGTGAGTTGCTCCCAGTCCCCAGAAGCAGGGCAGTGAAGCCCACTGGGGCGGCAGGCACCAGTTCCTCCGCCGGTGCCTGGCCTCCTGCGGGTCTCAGAGCGGCCCAATCCCACCAAGGGCTGCGACCTAGGGGCTAGGTGGTGCTTACGAAGGGCACAGAAAGGGCCTCTAAGTCCTGGCTGAATGAAGCCCAGCACTACTCCGCCCTGAGCCGGCCCCCTGGGTACTGAGGAGCTTCCGAAGTGGTATCCTGAGGGTCTCACCCCAATCTTGCCCTCTTCCAAGGATTGTGGTGGGGAGGCCGCCCCAGACAGCAGAGTAGCAGCCGAGGGATGGCGGGCTGGCTGGCGAAGGGAGAAGCCAGGGCCACCCGCCCTCTGTGGCCTGGCCCTCGCTTGTCTCTCCAGCCTTCCTCTCACCACACGTCCCACTCCCCTCCTCGTTCCCTCCAAAATTCTCCTGGTTCTTTCCACAAATGGGGCCTTTACTGCTCATGCGCCTCATTCCTTCCGTCTCAAACACCCTTTCTCGCTTCTCTTCCCCTTTGTAACTTCTACTTATTCTTCAGGTCTCACCTTAGATGTCAGTTCCTCCAGGAAGTCTTCCCCCTCCCTTTCCTCCTCCAGTCCAGCTAGACATGCCCCTCGCTAGAGGCAGGCGCCTCCCACCGCTCCCTCCCAGCCCTCAGCCCCAGCAGGAGCCCCCCCTCAGGAGGGCGGGGCCCAGCCTACTTTGTTCTGTGTTGTATCCCATACACATATTAGTACGTTCCAGTAAATATCTGTTGAATGAATGAATACATGAACCAACGGAAGCTGCCCCTAAAGCACGTGGTGATCCCCCAAGCCCCGTGGGCCGGAGCTCTCCACCCGGCCCTGGCATCTCTCCCAGGGGGATGCCTGAGTGTGTGTGTGTGTCTGTCCGTGCCCAGGCCGCTCACCTTTTGCTTAGCTCCTTCAGGGCTCCGCTTCGGCACAGGCCCAGGTAATCCCCCAGCAGCTTCAGCTGCTCCCGGCTCTGCCGGATGAGATGCATCCGCTCCTCATGTTCGTACAGAGATGGGTTCACCAGCTGCAGGTTGATGAGGGGGTGGGCTCGGATCTGCGTCAGGAACTTCAGGGCCTGCCGACAAATCTGGGGACACCACCGGGCAGCGGCGGTGAAAGCAAAAGGCCATTCAATGAACAGCTCTGGGCCAGGCACTGCATTACCCACCCACTCACTCACGCACGCACCCTTCAAGTGCCATCTTCATTTTACTGACGAGGAAACTGAGGTTCGGAGAGATGCGGTGACTTGGGTGGGGTCCACAGCTCATAAATGCCAAGCTTTGACCTCAGTTTATGTGACCCTCTCACCTTCTCTCTTGCCATGGCACCAGCAGCTGCCCCTCCCAGGCCATGCTGGCTGGGGTGGAGGAGGGGCCCCTCTCCCCCTGGGCCTCGTGGGCTTTTCCCATTACTTTCTCTCCTCCCAGCCCCCATTTTCCTGCCTAAAGGAAACCGGCACTGTCCCCTGAGCAGACTCAGCAACAGGTGACTTGATCTGAGTCAGGGTCCAACCACAGGAAGCCACAGATCAGACACAGCTTAACAAGAGGTTTCCCCAGCTTCCTCAGCTCTCGCCAGCAGCGCCTCCCCGGGCCCGCCCCCTCCAAGTCTCCGTGCGGAGTTCAGTGACCAACTTCAGGCTCTCCCACCTGACAGGGCACAAAAGAGTCTACCCTCAGACCGAACCCTAATGCCAAAGCCAATTATTGAGCTCCTACTGTTTGCCAGACACTGGGCTGTGGACCAGGACCATATCTTTTCTTCATCCTTGTAAGAAGCCAAAGGGGAAGGTGCCATCATGCCTACTTTATTCATGAGGAAACTGAGGCTCAGAGACACTACCATGGCTTACCCAGCCCACCTGTAGAAAGTGGGGACCAGGCCTAAACAGAGACTAGGTCTGTTTCCACACACCAGGAAGCCACGCTCACTAAAAGAGGCCTCTCTCCTCTGCTGGTGTCCCCTCTCTGTGACAAGAACGAGAGAGATGAGACACCCTGGGCGGTGGTTGGGAGTCTGCCTTGCAAGTCAGAACGGGATTCAAATCCCAGCTCTACTAATTCCTAGCTGTATGACCTTGTGGACCTTCCTTAACCTCCCTGTGACTCAGTTTCCTCATGTGTCAGGTGGAAAAAATAAAGCACTTGTCTTCTGGGATTATTTGGAGTTTAGAATACAGAATAATCCACGTAAGCTCCTGGCACGGCAGCAGTAGCGTGTCCTCGTCAATGGGATGGCCACCAGACTCTGGGTGCGCATTGTGGATCAGCTGCCCCCTGGAAGGTTGGGAATGTCACAGGGAGCTTGGGAGACTGTTACCCCAGAGGCTGGGGAGGCCTGTGGCCTCCAGTCTACCAGCTTCACTGGCATCCCTCGCCTCTCCCAGTATGGACATCTCCTTCTTTCCGGTTTCCCAGAGGTCCCAGTCCCCAGCCAGTGGGCAGCCCCGTGGCAACACCCTGGTGACTTGGATCAAGCTGCCGGGCCCCAGCCCCAGCCCCGGCCCATCCCCGCCCACGATTCAGCTCCAGGCCTTGGGTGAGGCTCAGATGAAATGACACCAGGAATGTGCGCTGAAAACTGCCAAGCGCCGCAGACAGGCAGGGGCTTTGTGCTCCCCGGGGACTGTTCCTATCCCGTGGGTGCAGAGGAGACAGACAAAGAAAGCAGCCCCAGCCCTGGCCTCACCTCCTGCCCAGTGCCAGGCAGGCCTCGCCCAAGCGGGTCAGCCGGAGTGGTAACGGTGAGCAATGGGGCCCCTGGCCTGTGGGCCAGTCCCTTTCTAGTTTGAATTTCCCAAGCCAGGGATCTTGAAGAGAGAGCTGGGTATTTCCCAATCTCAGACATGCCGAGAATAGTATTGTAATTTTCTAGCTGGAAGAAGGAAGTGGCACAAGAATTACAGCACAGAATAAGGAGATGGCTCAATGGAAGTATCCGGGTGCCATAAATACTGAGTGTTTTATGGCCAAAGGGTGCTTTGCATTTGTGGCGATTTTCTTTTTTAAAGATTTTATTTATTTAGAGAGAGAGGAAGGGAGTGAGAAAGAGAGGGAGAGAAACATCAATGTGTGGTTGCCTCTTGCGTGACCCCTCCTGGGGACCCAGGCATGTGCCCTGGCTGGGAATCGAACCAGGGGCCTTTTGGTTTGTAGGCCGGCACGCAATCCACTGAGCTACAGCATCCAGGGCGCATTTATGGCAATTTTGGGGTTTGATTTTCTCCACATAGTTAGTTAAACACTTAACATTGAAGGTGGGGATGGGATGACATAACCAACAAATGAAGCCGAAGTGATGCGAACGCCCTTGGGGTTCCCGCCCCCGGGGGAGTAAAGGGTGGGGTGGCACAGACTCCGAGGGTCACGCTCCCTGCGCTCTGGTAAGGACACGCCCACATGCCAAGACTGCAGGGACCCTGACCTCGAGCACTAGCGACAGAGGGCATGACGTGCCTCGGGAGAGGGGACGGGCACTAATGTGACACCCTCGGCGCGACTGGAGGGTCCTGTCTCCTTCGGTCCTCACACAAGCCTGGAACAGACACTGCTTTTAACCCCCTTTAACAGATGAGGAAGCCGAAATTAAATCATCTGCTCACGGTAACACAGCCAAAAAAGGGAGTAAGCCGAGCTGGAGAAGAGGAAAAACCTGAATAACCTTAGAATGCATCTTAGTCAAAAGCATCTGGTGAACATAAGTACTGAAGATGTAATACTAAGTAAACAAAACATGTCATAAAGCACTATGAGTCCAGTATAATCCTAATTTTATAAGAAGTAGCTGTGTATATAAATATAACACACGCATGGTGTGGACAAAAAGGGACGCTAAATCTAACCAAAAGCTCACAAGATGATCTGCTCATAAATTCCTATCTAGGCAGGTCACAGTGGGCAGTCAAGCCCCAGGCCTACAACTTCTTCAGCAAAAAGCTTATCTTTGCCTTAAGCAAGCCCTGCCTATAGCCTCTGCGCCGTCCAGGTTAACACACCTCTGAAATGCCTCTTTTCAGACTCCTCCTCCTCCTGAAGAGTGACCCCCATCGAGAGCACATAACTTATTAACTATCTTGTAGTCCCACCCTGCCTTGCTTTCTCCCAGCCTCGTATAATCTTCATTATGGTCACTCTTTAATTGCAGAGTTTAAAAGAAATGCAAAGCTGTCATCTCCAGGGCATTTGAAGTCTTGCTTCCCAGCAACTGCCGTTAGTTTTTTACATCAACAGAAAAGGCTGGCTGCTCCAAGGGGAAGTGCAAGCAGCTGGCCAGCCCATCCACCTCCCACCCCCGACCCCACCATCCATCCATCCATATCCACCAACCCCCTCCATCCATCCCTATTCATCCAGCCGTCCATCCATATTCACCCACCCACCCACCTATCCCTCCGTCCACTCAGTTGCTGGCGCCTTAAGCAGTTTTGTGTGTAGCCATGGGAAGCTGCAGACAACTGTCCTCACTCAGCCTCCCACCTGAGGCCCAAGGCAGACCCTGAGGGAGCCCTGAGCAGGGGCCATAGCGCAGCACCAAGTCTTTTCTTGGTCAGTTTTGCACCATCAGGGGGCCTGAACCAGTGACCCTGCTTTCCCCAGAGTCAAACTCCTCCCAGCAGAGAGCAGCAGCAACAAAGCAAAGTGACCATTTCTCGGCCGTTCAGCAGCCCATTCAGTGTGGCCACAACGCGCTGGGCTCGAGACTCACCGGGCGCTTGGTGAGGTCCCAGTTGTGGATGATCCTGGCCGGAATCACCGAGGCATCGTCTTGGTGGCAGATGTCACAGTAATAGAGGCCGGAGAAGGCACAGAGCTTGGGTCGTACAAATGAGAAGCCGATCTGCCGGGAGCAGCCTGGGGAGAAGGATGGCGGGAGAGGGGTGAGCAGGGAGCGGCGGGGCCGAGTCCGCTGCTGAGTAACGCGGAAGCTACGACGGTGGAAAGGGTCTGCTATTTAAAAAAGTAAAAACGTTAAAAAAAAAAGTACAAGGATAAGAACCACCACTTCTCAGAGTCAACCCTGTTAGCTAATCTTTACGAGCATTCCAAGTTGGGACGTGCTGGTTCTGGAGCCACACTCTCTCATACCTAGCTGCCTTCTTCACCGTTCCCACTGCTTGCTCACCAGTGCCACCCTCTTCTTGGTCTGTCCCTCTGCTGGGGCCCAGAAAAGGAAGCAACTCAGTCAGGACCTTGGCAAGCAGGGAAGAAGCTGGGGACATGGGGCGGGAAGGCTGCAGGAGGCAGGACGGTCCGGACACTGCCGGGCGCCAGCTTGAAGCCAGAGCTGCTGGAGGCCTCAGGGCAGAGGTGTGGGCCCCCCAGGTGGGGAGCAGAGGAGTGGGAGTCGGTGTGCCCCAGGCAAAGCGAAGGCCTGGCTCCGACCCTGAGCACACGCGCAGCCTCCCTCCCACGGACCAGGGGAGGGTCCCTCTGGCCAGCGGACTAGAAAGGCCGGCTCCTCCGCCCACCAGTTGCCTCATCCTGACTTTCGCCAAACTTTTGCCGGGTTTCATTTCACTACCTGTACAATTCGGCCACTACTGGCTATATTCTGCGGGGTTTATTTCAAAGTTTAAATGAGATCGTTTTGAAGATGCCCCACAAACTATGAAATACAAGCCAAATGGCAGTGATTGGTGTCTGCCTGGCCACTGAGCTGTGCTGATAGGCGGAGAGGAAGCTCAGGCTTCCCAGTTCCAGTCTTGCCCACAGGCGGTGGCAGACACGGCGAGAGCTGCCCCTCCCACCCCGGCCAGCATTCCTGCACACCGCCTCCCGAGGGGTGAGGACTGGTGGGGGGAGTTGAGGCTTGAAGAAGTTTTCTGCAGGAAGCTCTGCCCTGCCTAGCTTCTCCCACCCTCCAGGGGTCCTGACCGCAGACCACTTCCTCCCAGACACCTGAGGCAGGCTTTCCCCTGCAGTCCCGCAGGCCGCGCTCCGCCCCGCCCAGCTCCTATAGACCAGGCCGCTGCTTTGGCACCCTGCAGCCGGCAGGCTTCTTGCAGCCCAGTGGGAGAGCCGGGGTGAAGGAAGTGTCTGGTTCCACTGAGAGGGAAGAGCTAATGATGGAACGTGAGCAGTGGAGTATCAGGCAGCTTTGAAAATAAGGGCCTATGAAGGCCTGTTGAGAGCACAGGTTCTGGGACCAACATGGTCCCCACCCAGCTCCGCCACGTACTAGCTGTGTGGACCTGGGACAGGGTCTCAGCAGCCCTGTGACTCAGTTTCCTCAGCTATAAAGAGACAATAGTAGCAGCTATCCCTACAGGGTGGTTGTCAGGGTTAAACGAGATAATCCAAATGAACTTGAGAAGCACCTGGCCCAGGACGCAGCACAGAAGAATTAGGTTGGATGGTGACAATGATAGAGCAGATGTACTGACTTGGAATAATATCCATAATGTATTTTTAACTAGAAAAAAGCTAAGTTGCAGGACAATATATACTGCTATGCTGTCCAACATGGTGGTCACGAGACAGGGGTGCCCTTTCATATTTACATCCACTTCAGCCCTGGCTGGTGTGGCTCAGTGGATTGAGCACCAGCCTGCGAACCAAAGTGTTGCCAGTTCGATTTTGAGTCAGGGCACACGCCTGAGTTGCGGGCCAGGTCCCCAGGTGGGGGTGTACGAGAGGCAACTGGTTGATGTTTCACACATCGATGCTTCTCTCCCTCTCTTTCTCCCTCCCTTCCCCTCTCTCTAAAAAAAATAAATAAATTTAAAAAAATTAAATCAACTTCAATTAAATAAAATAAAAAATTCAGTTCTTTAGTCACACTTGGGGGACGGTAGCCCCCTGTGGACAGCAGAGATCTAGGGTATTCTCGTCAACATAGAAAGTTACGTTGGACAGTGCTGAGTAGTATGAGACTATTTTTTGTAATTAAAAAAAAAAAATTGTGTGCACTTGCAAAAGCATGCAAAAATATTTGAAAGGGTACCATGTCCCTGCTCCAAAATAATATGATAATGTTGTAGCACAGTGACAAAGGGAGTGTGAGCTCAGCTCCCCGGAGCCCCGAGCAGAGGTAGGCGAGCGGCAGAGCTGCCACCCACAGGTCTCACTGCTGAGCAGGAGGTGGCAGGAGCAGGAAGGGAGGGGGGCTCCCACAAGGAGGGGCATGGGCCTCCCTGGCTGCTCGGAGGAGCAGACGCCACTCGCTGCCACAGCTGCAAACAGCTACAAATGGCCTCATTTGCTGCAACACCCCAGGGGTGCAATGGGGCCACTTGTGGAGGGACAGGAAGGGGTGCAGAGCCTGGAACAGGAGCCCCACCGGAGACAGCGGGAGGCGGGTGGGCTGGGGGTGGCAAGTCAGCACCTGCGCAGAAGCAGCCCTGGGAGTCGAGGCCCTTCTCGGTGGGGATGGCCACCAGGTACTGCAGCAGGAAGCCGTTCTCCCCTGTGGCGAACTTCAGCACCTCCTGACAGTTTTCGTCCAGGCTCCCGCCCAGGGTCACTGCCTCCTCGGCTGTCTCCAGGTAGGACGCCAGGACCTTGCGCACCAGATCCCTCCACAAGGCGGCCTCCTCCGCGTTGCTGGCCTGCAGCTTCAGGATGGCCTTGGCCGTGATGATTTTGAAGAAGGACGGGCCCCCGAGGCTCGTGTCTGGCAGGATATCTCGTATGGTCTCAACTCCGTGGCTGTCACTCAACATCTTCTCATTGTTTCTCACGCGGAAGCATTTCAGGGACTCCAAGGACAAGGAAAAAATATAGGGTGTCCAGGTCCTGTCTGCGTACAAGTACAAGAGGGATTCTTTAAGAGCATCTGGCTCGGGAACCTGGGCAGAGGACCAGTCGAGCTGTGTGCCCTGAAAGGTTTCGGGCTCTGTGAGCAGGTCCGAATGGGAGGGGAGGCCACCCTGGGGGCCATCGGAAAGGTCGTCGGGCCGCTCCGGGTACTGGATGTCCACCCACTCCTCCTCCTGCTGGGGCCGGCACTTCTGCAGGGCCTCCTGCACGCGGTCCAGCCAGTCCTCGGCCTCGTCCTGGGAGGAGGCGCGCAGGGTCAGCTTCTTGCCGGAGAAGACCAGCTCGAAGCGGCCGTCGCTGTGGGCTGGCCCCACAGACTCACAGCGCAGCAGCGAGCAGTTCTCCACGCAGGTGCGCTCTTCGCCGTTCAGGTAGAGGCGGAACTCCAGTGGGGAGAGCTCACAGAAGAGTTCCTTCCAGATGCCCATCGCCCCCCGCCGCTCCACGGTGCCCAGCTTCATGAGACCCCGGAACGGGTTGGACAGTCCTGGAGGCAGAAAGCGGCACTTTAGACAATGGTCCTGTCCCTTGACCACTCAAGAAAAAAACCTCCAGAGCCCGTTGTCCTGTGGGCATGGACAAAGTGACTGCCACGGGAGCAAAAGCCAGCTACTTCTGCTCGGAGGGAGCTGGCAGCCACTGCCGGGTCTCAGGCAGAGGGGCATGATATGACATGTTCTAAATGGGGGTCGTCCTGGGTCATAGGTTGAAGGACAACAGGGGACGAACACCAGTTAGGAGGCTATTACCATAACCCAGGCCGGGGGTATCGGTGGACTGAACCCGTGAGGTGGCGGGGTGGTAACAAGCAGAAGACTCTGCACGTGCAATAGGACTTGCTGGTGGAGTTGATGTCTGGCGTGAAACAAAGAAAATCAAGGATAACTCCAAGGCTTTCAGCTCAGGCATCTGGGAGGAGGAAGTTGGCCATTTTATGACGTGAGGAACACGAGGAGAGAAGCAGGTTTGGAGTGGGAGAATCGGAGTCATTTCTGGACATGTCACCTTAGAGAAGCCTGTAGACATGCGTGGAGCAGATGGAGATCTGAATGTGAAGTTCAAGGTCAAGGTCCACACTGCAGATACAAACTGGGGATTTGCTGGCAGAAGGCCCTTGAGAGTAGGTGAGGTCAGCTGGGAAATGGGTGTCGGCAGAGAAGAGGGCCCAGGACTAAGGTCTGGGGCGCAACAACTGAGAGGCTGGACGGAACATTTTTTGAGCGCCTCTACCCCATCCTTACCTCTGTTGACTATACTTCTGTCTGAGCCCCGCCCCGCCACGCTGCCCCCACTCCTGCCTCCTCAAGGACAAGGACATTTCTCCAGCAAGTCTCCCTCCCTCTCCTGTGTCCCTGCTTTCTCCCTTCTCTCCTGGATAGTTCCCATCAACACACAGACATGCTGTTATTTCCCGTCATTAAAAATACCTCCTGACTAGGCTCATGCCTCTAATTAGCACCCTGTTTCTCCACCCCCTTTACCGAAAGTCCCCTGAGGAGGTCCTGGAACTCTCTCTTGTTCCCCTGCTCCTATTCCTTCTTGAACCTGTGCCAATCAGGTTTTTGTCTCTTCATTCTACTGGAACTGCCATTGGGAAGGCCACCAGGTCGTCCTTGTCACCAAATCCAAAGGGCAATCCTTGCTCTCATCCAGCCTGACACGTCAGCATCACTGGCCACAGCTGAGCCCTCACGAGACACCTCCCCCAGCTGGTTGCTAAGACACCACTCCCAGTCCTCCTCCACTGTCACTGTCACTCTTTGTCCCCTTGACCCACTCCTGCTTCTCTTGCCGGCCTCTCAGTTGTTGCGCCCCAGACCTTAGTCCTGGGCCCTCTTCTCTGCCGACACCCATTTCCCAGCTGACCTCACCTACTCTCAAGGGCCTTATGCCAGCAAATCCCCAGTTTGTATCTGCAGTGTGGACCTTGACCTTGAACTTCACATTCAGATCTCCATCTGCTCCACGCATGTCTACAGGCTTCTCTAAGGTGACATGTCCAGAAATGACTCCAATTCTCCCACTCCAAACCTGCTTCTCTCCTCGTGTTCCTCACGTCATAAAATGGCCAACTTCCTCCTCCCAGATGCCTGAGCTGAAAGCCTTGGAGTTATCCTTGATTTTCTTTGTTTCACGCCAGACATCAACTCCACCAGCAAGTCCTATTGCACGTGCAGAGTCTTCTGCTTGTTACCACCCCGCCACCTCACGGGTTCAGTCCGCCGATACCCCCGGCCTGGGTTATGGTAATAGCCTCCTAACTGGTGTTCGTCCCCTGTTGTCCTTCAACCTATGACCCAGGACGACCCCCATTTAGAACGTGTCATATCATGCCCCTCTGCCTGAGACCCGGCAGTGGCTGCTACTGCCCTCGGAGCAAAAGTCCATGGCCTTCTGCGGCCCACAGGCTCTCCCTCGCCCCGACCTCATCGCCTACTGCCTCCGCTTCCCCTCCCTGCCAGCTCCCCCGCTCTCTCCTTGTTCCTGGTTGTCTCAAGTGTGTTCCCACAGCAGAGCCCGCATTTGGTCTTCCTACTTGAACCACAGAGCTCGCCTCATGCCTTCCTCCCTCCCTTTCTTCGCATCTCCTCAAATGTCACCTGATTTGCATAGCTTGCTTGGCCTTCCTATATGAAACATTACACTCCAACTTAGCACTCCCTGACTTACTGTTCTCCATAGCAATTGTGATCGCCTGCCCATACCATACGTTTACTTGTTGTTTTTCTTATTTCCTGTCTCTCCCACTAGAAGGTAAGTCCTATGAAGCGAGGGACTTTGCATTCTCTCCTGCTGTGTCCCTAGCACCTAGAACAGTGCCTGTACATCACAGGTGCTCAATAAATATTTGCTGAATGAGCGAGTGTGTGCATGGCCACGTGCCACCCACTGCTCAATGCTCCCTGCTCCTGGGGGCAGGGTCTGCCACCAGCTAGGAGATCCAAGGGACACACAATTCACCCTCTCCCAGCCTGGACCATTGTAGAGGGTCTGCCTCCTTCTCAGGGAGCCTGATGACCCAGGCACAAAGCACACCTTCTCCATGTCACCTGGGCTGACAGCAAAGCGTAAAAGAAGCCATCATTGAGCCCAGGGTTCTGCCCAGTAGTACTCCCCATGCCCGGGCCCCAGGAACCTGGCCAGAGTTCCCTGCGGGGCCACTGTAAACAGAAAACGAGAGAAAGAGACAGACTCTAGGGCACACTTTTTTGTTTGGTTGAAAGAAGAAGTTCATCTATGAGGTTATAAAAAATTAGGTTATGGTTATTTGATGCATTCTGGACTTCATGGGGCGGGACAGGAGCGGGGAGATCAAGCTGGCCTCATTGTAAACAGCACACGGAGGCCACTAAACAAACAGCCGATATGACAAAGCCCCCAGAACTGCTAAGTAAACCCTCTGAGACGGAGGCCTTGGGAGGGAGCACTTGAAGCTCCTGGGCCTTCGAGAGGCACGGTTCGCTCTGGGCTACAGCAGAATGAAGAGTTCTGTATAATACGATTTATGGGGTAGTTTCAGGGAAGGCCTTTTCCATTTCAATGTATGAAATGGTTTTTCTGCACTCTGCAGGCAATTTGGGGCATTGCTTTTCCAGGTTGTGTAAAAAAATATAGTAGCTTTCCTGCAATGCTTTCTTGAATGACTCAGCAAGGGTGGCTCATTACATTTTGGGATGAGGGTTTTCTTGTGAGAAGACACCACTCAAGTGGTGATGGAAAAGAGGGGCTTCACAACTGCTTTCTGAAAGGCAGACCCGCAGGGAGGCCACCTGGCGCTCGGTAGCTACCTACCCATCTGCCTGCGGTGCACCACCCGGAAGTTCTTATGCTCCCACGCTGTGGCTGTCTTGCTTTTCCTGCTTCCTGGAGAAGGCACACAAGCTTTGTCTAAGGCCCCCATGGAGGAGCTTTTTCTTGGTCCTTGAGAAAAATGCCTGAGGAGACCAGGCCTGGACTCTGGAGTACCCCCGGAAGAAGCTACGGAGCGATCGGAAGGACTGGAAGGGCTCTCTGGGGGTCGCTCCTGGGGAGGCCGGTAGAAGTCATCTTCCGAGATCCAGCTCTTGCCTTTCTATTGGGGAAGAAGTAAAAACATAGGCTGTTTTCAAAGTCTTTTTAAAAAAAGTCTTCATTGAGATATTCATGGAGTTGAGCAATCGTTACCACTAAATGGAGAACATTTGTCATTGCTCATAAAGAAGCTCCATTCCCATTAGCAATCGCTCCCTATTTCCCCTAAACCACTTTAGTTCTACACAGCAAATAATCTACTTTCTATTTCCATAGATTTCCCATTTTGGACATCTCGTATAAATAAAATCTTGTAACATCAGGTTTTTTTTTAACTGGTTTCTTTCCCCTTAGCATAATGTTTTGGAGCTTTATCCACGCTGCCGCATGTATTAGTACTTCATCTGTTTTTATTACCAAATAATATTCCAATGTATGAATGTGCCACATTTTGTTTATCCAGTCATCAGTTGATGGACATTTGGGTTTTTTCTACTTGTTGGCAATTACGAATAATGCTGCACGTTCATGCAATTATTTTCAGATGGATGTGTTCGCTACTGTCTCGGGTACTCACCTAGGAGTGAAATTAATAGTAACTAGGACTAACTTTTTGAGGAACTCCAAACTATTTTCCTAAGTGGCTGTACCATTTTACAGTCCCACCAGCCATGTATGAGGGTTTCCATTTTTCCATGTCCTAACACTTGTCATTATGGTTTTTTCGTTTGTTTGTTTGTTTGTTTGTTTACTATAGGCATCCTGATGGATGTGAAGTGCAATCTTGCAGTTTTGATTTGCCCTTCTCTAATGTCTAAGGACCCTGAACAGCCTCTCACGTGTTTCTTGGTCACTTGTACATCTTTGAAGAAAAGAGTGGAGCAGATTCTTCCCTGAACCCCAGAAGTCATCAACCCTACCAGCACCTGGAGTCGGGACTTCTAGCAGAGAACACATTTCTGTTGGTTTAGGCTATCCAGTTCACAGTACAGAAGCCCTACAATACAAATACAACTTGCAAATAATTTCTCCAAATCCGTAGGTTGTCTTTTTATTTTCTTGATTGTGCACTTTGAGGCACAAAATTTTAAAATGTTGATGAAGTCTAATTCATCTATTTTTTTTTTCTTTGTCTCTGTGTTTTTGGTGGTATATCGAAGAAACCGTTGCCTAACCCGAAGCCACAAAGATTAATTTACACCTGTGTTTTCTGCTAAGAGCTTTATAGTTTTAACTTTCAGAATTAGGTCTATGAGTTAATTTGTGTGTATGGTGTGAGGAAGGGGTCAACCTCTATTCTTTTCTGGGCAGATATCCCGCTGCCCCAGCACCATTTGTCTGAGGGATGCACAGGTTTTCGGCCCTGCTTCTCAGGTTTGAGGTGAGGTGAGCAGGACCCCCAGTCCTCACCTGCTGCCCTGCCTCTGCTCCCCGTTCAGAGCAGGTGCCCGGGACCCCAGGCAGCGAGGCCCTTCCCCTGTGGCTGCTGTCCCTCTGAGTCTGAAATTGCTCACTGGCCATGGGAGGTGGAGTGGGTCTGGAGTCGGGGGCTTGTGGGAATGGATTCTAGCTTATTTCCCCCCCTCTATTTCAAGCACTCCCTGCCTTTCTGTGCCTAAGCATGTAGGAGCAGAAGCAAGGAAGCTGCTGGGCCACCGGACATGGCTGTCTACACAGAGGAAATGAGTCACACAACGGGTGGGACCAGCCCTTGTGTGACTCAGCCCAATGTTGCTATTTCCAATCCTTAAATCGGGACTGCCTTCCCTGCTCCCCTAGACAGAGAAGGGGAGCAGCACTGGGGCTTCCCCAGAAGGATTGGTTTGGACATTTTAATTCATTCAGATGCTATAAAACTCCTTCAGCCAAGAATGGGAGTTCTGAGTCAGGATCTTGGCAGGGGGCTCACAGAGCTAGGCCTCCTGTGCTTCCTCAGCCTTGGCAGCTGCTTCCTTCTGCCAGTGACAGGACAATGTGTCAGGGAGGATGGCTGTAGGGGACCATTCATACCACAGCGTTCTGAAGAAAGCCTGACGAGGTCCCTGAGACTCAGGGGGAGTCCCTGAGGAAGATGGGCAGCAGCAACCTCCCGGCTGTTGAGGTGGCCTCCCGGGGCCTCCCGGAGCCTGGCACACACACACCTGGGTCGTCTGAGGCCTCTCAGCCCCTGCTAATGCCCCTAATGGGAGGGACCGCTCTCCACTGAGACTCAACTCAGGGGTCATCTATGTACAGTGGTCCCCAAGCTTTTTGGTACCAGGGACTGGTTTCGTGGAAGGCGATTCTTCCATGGAGGCGAGGGTGGGGGGTGGGGTGGGAAACAGGAGGCCGAGCTCAGGAGGTAGTGAAGCTTTGCTGGCTCGCCAGCGGCTCACCTCCTGTGGTGCGGCCTGGTTCCTACCCAGGAACCGAACTGCCGGCCAGTACTGGACCCCAGTACGGGCCACCCCCTGGGGATTGGGGCCCCTGATCTACCGCCTCCTCCTGGAAGCTCTCGCTGTCCATCCGCAGCCTACCCTCCTTCCGCTCCCCAGCTGGGGCTGGGCTCCCACAGCGTGCCTTCTAGTCTTACTTGCATCCTGGTGCCTACAAAGCAGTTTGGCACAGAGTTAAAGCAGATGAAAGCATAAATCTTGACTTTCCAAACATCTTCAACGTAAAATAACAAGGGCGGGGCGAGGGAACCGGAAGGAAGAAGGCGCATGTGGACTCTGAGATGATGCACGTTCCCTGGCGAGCGCTCCTCTGTCCGCAGCGGAGGGGAAACGAGGAGGCAGCGGCAGACGTGCTCCAGCGACCACAAGTTGCCTACCAGGAAATCACACTCTAAGGAAAACCTTTTGTTCTCTTAAGCAGTGTTTCTCCACCAGCGGGAACACTGGGTCCTTGAAGCTTCTGCGCTTGGCCTGGACTGAGCCCTGAGGCTGTGCCCCACGCCAGGGACCCCAGTTACAAAGCAGAGAGGGAGGCAGGGGAAAGAGGCGCACGCCACGATCTCCCTTCTCCCCTTTCACACCACCTTCCTACCTCCTGCTCACCCCGGGTCCGGTCCGCATCTGGCCAGTTCCCTGTCCCTTTAACGGGGGCAGGGATCACTATTGACCAAGGATCTCGGCCAGAGCAGCACCTGCCACCAGAGGGACCCAAGACATGGGAATGCCACCTGGACTTACTAAAGGCATTGGGACGCGTTATACAACAGCCAAACCCAGAGGGGAGCCTGGCTGAGAAGTGAGCCACCAGGTCTCTGGACCACTTTCCGAAAAGCACATTTTGTCCTCCCTGGAGGAGGGAGCCCTGTGTTATTGGAGGGTGGTCCATGAGACAAGTGATTAGGGCCAACTCTTAGATTTCAGACTGTCTTCTGCAAATGAAGCTGAGACACGAACTCATACCCCCGCAGATCCCACAGACGCGGTCTCCCTAGCGAGCTCCCCCACGCGCTGCACCTTTCCTCCCCAGCATGTACTACAGTGTCATTATGATCCCTGGAGTCTGTCCCCAAAGAGCAGGGCCCTTGTCTGCTCTGTTCCATCACTGTACCAAGCTTGGTGCTTTGGACTAAATGAAATTTTAAAAAAAGTTTTAAAGGAGGATTGAATGGCGCTTGGAAATTAGAAACCTGGACAGTGAACTCCCCTCCCAGAGTGGTAAATAGCAGTGACGAAGTGACAGGAGCATAGAAAGATGATGAGAACCATAGAGGCGGCATACAGGGCGTAGCCCCACCCTGCACAAAGGCACGGAGCCCACCCGGCCAGTGTGAGCAGGCAGGCCACACGGTGCTGCCCAGCAACCACCCAGCGGAGGAATGAACGGATCCGCCACTCCCCTGGCATGTGGGCTCCGGAAGGGGCGAACATCTGAAGAGCCCACAGGGACTCACAGGTACTTTGGTTTGATTCCACGTTACCCAAACAACCCTCCAGCAACCAGACCCCCCTGAGGCCCACAAGGAGGCAGAGTCTGCTCTGGCCAGAACAACCTGCACCCCTGCACTTGGTGCTGCACTCACAAGCTGGCATTTCAAGAATCTCCGGAGAGTTCGAGAACTATTACTTGATACCCACCCTCTCCCAGGTGCACTGCTTGGAGCTGACAATCTAGAAGTGAACAGACATGGTCTTTCATACCATGAAGCCAATATTCTAGTCAGGAACACAGAAAATAAACAAGTAGACCAATAAAGAGATATGATCATTTCACAGAGCGACGGGCATTACAAAGTGAGGCAGGGAGATGGGAAAGAGTCCCTATTGCTTTCAAGTCAGGGTGGTGAGGGAAGGCTGAGATGCCAGTGTGGAAAAGGAGTGAGTCAGAAAAGGGTCCACACAGAGGGAACAGAAAGGAGAAATGCCTGGGGCTGGAAGGACCTTGCTTTGTCATGAGCTGCAAGAAGGCCAGGGGGTCAAAAGCTGGTGAGCAGAGGAGGAGCCTTGTCATGTGTGACCTGCTCTGTCCAGACACTGAAGGCGAGGATAAAGAGAAATGCCAGCGCCTGTGTACTGCTCCTGTGAGGATAACTTGGCACAAGCGCTGTTAGAAAACTTTCTGGCCTTATCTACTAAAGCTAAACATACACCTACCGAATGGCCTATCAACCTCACTCCCAAATATATACCCGCAGAAATGGGGGCGTGGGGTCCCGGCCATGTAGCCCAGTTGGTTAGGGCATCGTCCCCACACACCAAGGCTGCAGGTTTGATTGCCGGTCAGGGCAGGTACAAGAATCACCCAGTGAATGCATCAGTAAGTGGAACAACAAATCAATGTGTCTCTCTTTCTAAAAATCAATCAATAAAAATTATCGTTGAAAAAATGAATGCATAGGTTCACCAAAAGGCCAGAATAAGAACGTTCGCAGCAGCTCTCCTCATGTCAGCCCCAATCCTGGAAACAACCCAAGTGTCTGTTAGCAGGCGTGTGGAAAAATACATGGTATATTCTTACAACAAAATGCCAGAGAGCAATGGAAAAGACCAAGCTATGGCCCCATGCTGTATGTGCAGAGGAATCTCACAGACATAATTTTCAGTGGAAGAAGCAAATGAGTATATATTGTATGATCCATTTATATCAAGTTCAATGACAGGAAAAATGAATCTCTGGTGGCCTCCTTTGGTAGGCTGGAAATACTCTACACCTCAATCTGGATGGCGGTAGGAGGGTGTATATCACATGTAATTGCTCACTGAGTGTATACCTGAGGATCTGGGCACTTGAAACACATCACTCCTCAAAACTTTTTAAAATGGGGAAATAACAGGCTTTTAGGCAAATAGTGCTGGTACAACTGGATATGCAAATGAATGAAGTGGAACCTCATCCTTATACCATATATAAAAATTAGCTCAAAATGGATCACAGATCTAAATGTAGGAACTAAAACTATGAAAATTTTAGACTAACACATAGGAGTAAATCTTCACGATGTGATTAGGAACTGGGTACTGAGATACAATACCACACCAAAGCACTAACGACAAAAGCAAAAATACATGAATTAGGCTACATCAAAATTTAAAACTTTTATGCTGCAAATGATACGATCAAGAAGGCAGAAGAACCCTGGCTGGGTGGCTCAGCTAGTTAGAGCATCATTCCCCACAGCAAAAGGTTGCTGGTTCGATCCCTGGTCAGAGTGCATACAGGAGGCAACCAATCGATATTTCTCTCACACTGATGTTTCTCTCTAAGATCAATAAAAATATCCTAGGTGAAGATTTTAAAAAAGTAATTTAAAGAAAGGAAAAAAACAACTTACAGAATGGGCAAAAATATTTGCAAACTACATATCTAATAAGGGTCTAGGATCCAGAATATATAAAAAACTATTGTAACTCTTCATTAACCAATGCCACCCCAATAAATTCAATAAAAAGTTTAAAAAAACCCTATTATAACTCAATAATAAATAGACAGATAACCCCAGGCAAAGGCTTTGATTGACATTTCTCCAAAGAATATACAGAAATGACAATAAGCACATGAAAAGATGCTCAACATCACTAGCCATCAGGGAAATGCAAATCCAAACCATAATAAGATACTACTTCTCATCCACTAGGATGCCAATAATAATAATAACAATAACAATAAAGACAATAAGAACTGTTGGTGAGAATGCAGAGGAATACACTGCTGGTGAGAATATAAAATGGGGCAGCTCCTTTGGAAAATAGTTTGGCAGTTCCTCAAAAAGGTAAACATAGAGTATGATCTAAAAATTTCACTCCTAGGTATGTGTTCAAGAGAATTAAAAACATATGTCCACCCAAAAACTTATACAAGAATGTTTATTGCAGCATTATTCATAATAGCCAAAAAGTGGGGGGGGAACCCCCAAATGTCTATCAACTGATAAAGAGATAAATAAAAGGTGACATATTCATACAATGGAATCTACAATGAAGTATCACTCAGCAATAAAAAAGAATGAAGTAGGGATACATGCTACAACATGGATAAACCTCCAAAACATGTTAATTGAAAGAAACCAACTTCAAAAGGTTACATATTATAAGATTCTATTATGTCATATGTCTAGAATAGCGTTTCTAGAGACCAAGCAGATTAGTGGCTGCTGGGGGTTGAGGTGACTACGGCGGGGGAGGGGAAAGGTTGGCGAGTGCCCGCTCATGGTAAGCCATCTCTTTGATGGGAGATAAAAAGGTTTTAAAATTAGACAGTGGTGATGGTTGCAAATCCCTGTGAATATACTAAGAAGAAAAATTGAATTCTATACTTTAATTGTGTGAATTGTACAGTATGCGAATTATACGGCACTAAAGCTGTTTTAAAGGGTGTGTGTATGTGCCTCTTTCAGTCTGTTTCATGTCTCTGGTCCCATCCTGCGTTACACATCTGGAAGCTACAGGCCAAAAGACAGATGTACATGGACGGAGCTGAAATGTAAGTCCGTGCGTCAGTACTAGCGTGAGCCCCAGAGAGTAGCTGGGGTAAGCTCTGGGCTTCGCATGTCCATGCGCACATGTGCACACCGTCCCCACCTCTGCATTTGGTGACATAAAAACAAACATGAAATGGCCAAGCTCGGGTGCACGGGTCTGACTGCTGCTCCACTAGGCCAACACTTCTCAAGCCTCGCTGCCCACGGCCAGTGCCAGGCTGACTTCCTTTGGGCTGTCTGCCAAAGGAGGCGGCTTATTGTAGAACAGCGCTGTTCTACAGGAGTGTACTGTGAGTCACGTATGTCATTTTAAATGTTCTGGTAGCCACAATTTAAAAAATGTAAAAAGAAGCAGGTGAAATTTTAATAATATATTTTATTTAACCCAATATATCAAAATATTTTCATTTTACTATGTAATCAATAAATTCCTAATGAGAAATCGTCCACTCTTTTTCCCATGCTAAGTCTTCAAAACCCAGCGTATGTTTTACACAGCTCATCGCAGTTGGGACTTGGCCACATTTTAAGTGTTAAGTTTAAGTGTGAGCGGCTAGTAGCTGCCAACCCGGACAGCACACACAGTTCTAAATGGGAATCATGTTGCAAAATGAGTCTTTTCAAAGGTATTACATAAAAATATTAATTTATTAGTAACAAGTACAGAGGAGGAAACTGAGGTTCAGAGAGGCAAAGCACCTTTTGCCCAGAGCCTGAAGGTGTTAAGAGGCCGTGGTTAAGAGCAGACAGTCTGTGGCGAAATGAGAATTGTCTTCTCACAGGGTCGATATGAGGACAACAGAAGGTGACCACAGGAACTGAGTGGCACAGCACCCACCACTCACACACCAGGAAGCATTAGCTCCATCACCACAGTGCTCCTCACACTGACAGCAGGCGGGGAGACGGGGTGCGTGGGGAGAGGGCAGCGGCCACTCGGGGTCACCAGCCCGGGAAACCCTGGCCAGTGCTGAGACAGTTCCCCAAGACCGCCCCCAGAACAGCCTGTCCCACTCACCGGGCTGGTGGGTGAGGAAACCACGAGGCTCAGTCCAGCTCCGCCGTCCCCCGAAGGCTGCTGCGGGCCGCTCCCTTGGCCGACTGCTCTCACAGGACCGGGGGGCTGCTGGTCTGAGATGCTCCCCGAAGTGACAGCGTGGGCAGTGCCCAGATGCTGCAAGCCCAGGGTGCCGGGTGTCTGGGAAGGCGGCTCCTGCCTGTGGCCGCCATCCCGAGCCCCAGAGGCTGCCTGGGCAGGGAGGGGCTCTGCCGGCACAAGGAAGCGCAGGGGTGTGCTGGTGTCGAGGCGGAGGCCGTGGAGGGACGGGAAGGCCTGCGGCGGCGCAGGGCCCTCCGTTTCTTGGCTCAGTCCGTTGGTTGGCACATTGTTTACTTGGGCTTTGCTGAACTCTGACAATACCCTAGAAGTTTTTAAACAAAGAAACCTGTGTGACAGGTTGTCAGCTAGAATGCCCAAGGCCACGGGGGCAGCAGAAGGAATGGAAAACTGCTGTTTGGGGATTTAAGAAACAAACATCACTCCCACTGTCCCTCGGTCACACAGCCCTCCTCTGACACTCCCCACCAGTTTGTCCCCCCGCCACGGGGACCCAGGCACACGGGGTAGGCAGCGGAGTTGTGCAGCCCAGGATCTCAGGGGAAAAGCTCAGAGAGCAGAGAAAGGACTAGATGTGAATGGGAACGGGAACTGAGTGCACAGGCTAACTAACTGTGGGCCTGGAGTTTGCTCGGCCGAACACATGGTTACGCAGGCCATCATTTCTCCCGCCGACGGCGGCCCAGGCCCGTGAACACAGTGCCTCAGGGCTGGGCTTCCCAACAGCACTGAGGCACCAAGGCTCCACCCCCAGGACGTGGACTTAGCAGAACTGAGGACCTACTTTGTTCCTCGTACAGTAACTGGGCAGCAGGGTTGGGGTGAGGTGCAAGGGCTGGTTTACCTCAGAGCTGGACTGGTTATGGAGTCAGAGAAGCCTCCCGTTCCCAGAAATTGCTGCCGGGGATCAGTGACCACCCGGTATGTGAGTATGAGCACACGTATATATGAGGTGTGCACCTGCTCGCTCCTCTGCAGGGACTGGCTCTCCCTGCCCCTCGGTGGTGCTTCTGGGCCACAGGGAGACAGTGTTACTGCCTTTACACACACACACACACACACACACACACACACACACACACATCTTCTGGAATGTGCACAGGCTACGAGCTCTCTGCCCTCCCTCTCCTGAGGCTTCTGAGAATTCAGGTTCCATTTCCAAAGTAAACCTATTTGCTGGCTCCTCTGCTTAAGAACTCAACTGAACCCATCATGGACAAATGCAGGTTCAGAAGACAACAATGCTGTCTGGAGGCCAAGAGACTGCTCACATCTGCCCTCACAGCTTAGATTGGGTCCAGAAGACATGCCACACTCCCCTTACTACGGGCTTACGGAGACTGAAATTTCAGGACTCGAGTCTTTACCCAATCACCTCCTGGCTGAGCTCTGCTCTCATCTACACCCTGAACGACATTTCAAGACATTCTAGTCAAGAACAGGTGACCAACCCATACATCCACGGGCAACTGATTTTCAACAAGGGCACCAATGCATTTCAATGAGGAAAGAACAGTCTTTCCAACAAATGGTGCTAGGATAAGTGACTAGTTCCCTGCAAAATGAAGTTGGACCCCTATCTCACACCATGTTAAAAAAATTAATTCAAAATGGATCACAGACCTAAAGTAAGAGCAAAAACTATAAAACTCTTAGGAGGATGCAAGTGTCAATCTTCATATCTTTGGGTCAGGCAATGGCTTCTTAGATATGGCATCTAATGCATAAGCAGCCAATAAAAAACAAGTAAGTTGAACTTAATCAAAATAAAAAACACTTTCATGCTTCCAAGGGATATTACTACCAAGAAAAGGAAAAGAAAACCCACAGAATAGGAAAAATATACAAATATTATCATATATCTGATAAGGGTCTAGTATCCAGAATATATAGCACTTTTACTACTCAGTAATAAAAAGAATAATCCAATTTAAAAATAGGCAAAGGACATGAATAGACATCACTCCAAAAAGATACACAAATGGCCAATAAGTACATAAAAAGATGTTCAATATTATTAGACAGTAGTGAAGTACAAGTCAAAACCACAATGAAATCTACTTTACGCCCACTAAGATGGCTATAATTAAAAACAAAACAACAGAATAACAAGTGCTGGTAAAGATGTGGAGAAACTGGAACATTCATACACTGCTGGTTGAGATGTAAAATGGTGCAGCCTCTGTGGAAAATAGTTTGGTAATTCCTCAAAAAATTAAACAGAGTTATCACATGGTTCAGGAATTCTACCCGTGGGTATATACCCAAGAGAATTAAAAACTTATGTTCACACAAAAACTTGTACATGAATATTCTTAGCAACATTAATCATAATAGCCAAAAAGTGGGAAACAATCCAACTGTCCATTAGTTGATAAACAGGTAAGCAAATTGTGGTATATCCATACAATGGAACATTGTTCAGACATGATACGTGCTAAAACATGAATGAACCTTGAATACATACTATGGGGAAAAAGCTGGTCACAAAATTCCACACATTATATGATTCCATTGATATGAAATGTCAAAAATGGGTGCTGGGTAAGGGGTTTCCTTACAGGGTGATGAAAGTGTTCTTGAATTAAACTGAAGCAATGTTGTACAACTTTGTGAATATACTAAAAACTAATGAATTGTACATTTAAAATGGAATTTTATGGTATGTGAGTCACATCTTAATAAACAAAAAGGTGACCTATCAGAGAAAGGTATAAATGTGTTTGTGGAATAGTTATGGGGGAGGCAGGTGGGTGCTGGTTCTCATTCTGTGGCTTCACTCTATAAACAGACTGACTTCTGGTCAAGATGGCAGCATAAGCAGACATGGCTTGCCTCTTTGCACAACCACACCAAAATACAACTAAAATATAGAACAACCATCACTTAGAACCATCAGAAATCAAATTGAATGGAAGTCTGACAACTACATAATTAAAGAAACCACATCCATCCAGACTAGTAGGAAGGATGCAGATGTGGAACGGGCTGGTCCCAAACCCACCTGTGGTGGATAAAAATTCAGGAGGGATATCTCGGGAGCGAGGGGTCCCAGCCCCACACCAGGACCCCCAGCCCAGAGTTCCAGTGCCAGGAAGATAAGTCCCCACAACTTATAGCTACAAAAGCCAGTAGGAATTGAGTTGGTGGAAGAAACTTTTAGAGCCCCAAGCAGTTCCTCTTAAACAATCCACACATGGACTTACCTACTCAGGCTCACTCCCTCTGAGCTCCAGCACGGGATGCAGCTTGAAAGGCACCAGTGGCATACTGGAGAAACTGAAGTGTCTGGCATCAAGGTGAGCAGAGGCCATTGTCCCTTTTCTAAACCCTCTCCCAACACGGCCACAGAGCCAGCGAGCTGGTGCCATATCTGAGACTCTATCAACCTGGCTAACACTGTTTGACCTGCCTTGGAGATCCCCTGAGATTGTACCCAACCCAGATTACTAGAGGTCACAGCCAATCCTTGTAGCTGAGTGGCCTGGGTAAATCCCTCCCATTGACCTGTCAACCACCAAGGTTCAACTATATGAGGAGAGTGTACTTAGTCCACACAAAGGGCACACCTCAAGTACCTAGCTTGGGTGATAGGGGAGGCTGTGCCACTGGACGCTACAAAACACCTATTACGGTAGGACACACAGAGTCAGAGCAGCTCTACCTAATACATGGAAACAAACACAGGGAGGCTGCCAAAATGAGGAGACAAAGAAACATAGTCCAAATGAAGGAACAGATCAAAACCCCAGAAAAAGAGGTAAAGAAAATGGAGATAAGTAATCTATCAGATACAGTTCAAAACTTTGGTTCTAAGGATGCTCAAGGAGCTTAATGAAGACCTCAGCAGCATAAAATAGACCCAGTTAGAAATGAAGGATACACTAATTGAAATAAAAAATAATTTACGGGGAAATAACAGTAGAGTTTGTTAAAGGATAAAGGTGAGAATCAAATCAGTGATATGGAACATAAGGAAGCAAAAAACAACCAATCAGAACAAGAAGAAGAAAGAATGCAAAAAAATGAGGATAGTATAAACAGCCTTTGGGACAACTTCAAGAGGTCCAACATTTGCATCATAGGGATGCCAGAAGGAAAAGAGAAAGAGCAAGACATTGGAAATCTATTTGAAAAAATATTGGAAGAAAACTTCCCTAATTTGGTAAAGGAAATGACATGCAAGTCCAGGAAGCACAGAGAATCCCAAACAAGAGGGATGCAAAGAGGCCCACTCCAAGACACGTCATCATGAAAATGCCACAGGTTAAAGATAAAGAGAAAATCTTAAAAGCAGCAAGAGAAAGGCCATTAGTTGCCTACAGGAGAGTTCCCATAAGACTGTCAGCTGATTTCTCAAAAGAACTTTGCAGGCTGGAAGGGATTGGCAAGAAATATTCAAAGTCATGAAAAGCAGGAACCTATAGCCAAGATTGCTCTACCCAGCAAAGCTATCATATAGAATCAAAGGGCAGATAAACAGCTTCCCAGACAAGAAAAAACTAACGGAGTTCCTCATCACCAAACCATTATTATACGAAATGTTAAAGAAACTTATTTAAGAAAAAGATCAAAATTATGAACAATAAAATGGCAAAAATACAAATCTATCAACAACTGAATCTACAAAATAAGCTAAGCAAACAAGAACAGAGACAGAATCATGGATACAGAGAGTGTTTTGACGACTGCCAGATGGGAGGAGGTGTGGGGGATGGGTGAAGAGGAGGGGATTAAGTAGTACAAACAGGTAGTTATAGAATAGCCGTGCGGATGTACAGTACAGTATAGGGAATGGAGCAGCCGAAGAGTTTACATGCATGACCCATGGATGTGACCAATGGTGGAGGGACTGCTTGAGGGAGTGGAGAGAGCTGGGTGGAGGGGGGGCAAAATCAGGACAACTGTAATAGCACAATCGATAAAATATTAATTAATTAATTAATTAAAGGAATAAGTAAAAACAGACCCATAGAAACCCAGGAGTGCCACTTGTAGGGAGCAAGCATCATGAGTCCTGGAAGCAAAGCGCTAGTTTCCACAGGAAAAAGGAGGGAGGGGCATTTGCTGGCCAGCTGCATGTGTCCAAACTACCGGGACAGAATGGGGCCACATTCCAAAGAGACCTGGGAGGCAGATTTTTGGCAAATGTCCCCTGTGAGATCCCAGCTCTTCACAGGCTCCTGGGAGGTGGCGGGAGCAACAGCAGGGGCCCAGCGTTCTCCTGGCCTTGGTTAGCACATTACTAAGTGCCCCACGACAGGTCCCCAAAGTTCACAGATTTGATTCCCTTACTGTAAAACAGACATGGTAACAAAACCCACTTTTGTGACTGTGACAAAGATTCAGTGAGATAATATAGGTGAAATCCTTAGTGGAGTGTCTTGCACAAGTTAAATACTCAATATATGTTAACCTCAACTTATTACTGTAGCTGTTTTTATTATCGCTGATAAGACTACTCAGCCTCCATGTCCATAAACAGAAAACTGGAAGGAAAGGAGCAGAATTATGGAAATACTAGTGTTATTACCAAAATTGTTACCAGTTATAAATGAATCCTAATCTATAAGCAAGGTTTTAATGATAGAGTAGACTGGGTGTTAGAATAAGCAAGTGACAATGCATAAAGAAATGCCACAAAAAAAAGCAAGAAGCTTGTGCAATAAATTAGAGCTTCCACCAAATCAAAACCAAGGTCAAGGTGAAGTCAAGTTCATAGAATTTGACCAGAATCAGTTTGGGTCTTCAGGACCCAATGAGAATAAGGGAGACAGGTACCTCAACTGGAAAAAGTGTTAGAGGTGAAATTTTGAAGGAAAGGCAAAAGAAAACTTCGAAAAAATTTGAAGACAATGAAACAGAAATGAAACAGTGAAATTGCAACCATCTCTCCACTTCTGTCTGCTTCAGGGCAGTGGTTCTCAAAAACATTCTGTTCAAAAATTTTAAAACTTTGTGCATTCACTTACAAAACCATTGGAAAGAGTGCATGCGTTGTATGCATATGTATTTATGCGTGTATGTGGGAAATAAATAAGAAGCAGGGCCTGGAGACTCTGCATGGCCACCTCATAACGATCCCCTGCCAAGAGCTTCCGAGCCTGTGGCTTTCCTGACCACGCAGACTGTCATAATGGCGGCACGTGGCAGTCACCAACAAATGCACGGAGGTGGGCTGCATGTGCTAAGAATCATTTCCTCCATGGGAAGGCCTCACGACAACATCTGACAGACATTACTAACCAGCTTTCTGCAGCAGTGTCCATAGCAACAAGGAGTAGTAGAACTGAGGTTACCAGTTCTCAGCAGAGCTCAGCAGTAAATGACAATAACTCCACCTATTGGGCACTCACTATGTGTCAGGCACTACTCTAAGCACTGCCTTACCTCATTTAATCTTCCTGGCATTCCTTTGAACACTATTATCCACACTTTACCGGTGAGGACATCAAGGTCAGAAAGACTGAGTAACTTGTCCAAGGTCAAAAATCGGGTTAAAGAAGACTCGGCTGGTCTGGCTCCTGAGTCCACATTCTTAACCGACAGAATGTCCCCGTGCTTCTCAGGGATAATTATAGTTCAGACCCAACAAACACGAAAGGAGCTACTCAGGGCAGTCAATCCTCTATTCATCAGGACAACTGCGATTTAGTTTCAGTGAAATAGTATAACAATACATTTCATTTTGAATGTTAATGCTTTATACTTTGTTTAATTTGTAGATGTTTTGATTTTATAGTTATAAGAGTTATAAGAACAAGGTATTTATGCTTAATTTGAAGTTATGTTTACGTAATACAGTGAAAGTAGCGTAAGTCAAGTCCTAAGTGCTGGTGAGACTCCTTACCCTGGAAACATAGACTCCACATAGCGCTGCTCTCTGCGGCTGCTCCAAGGCCAACTTCAAGCCCAGCGCCGAGGAGGCGGGATGTGTGCGCGCGCATTTGTGCGCTTAGTGGGTGCTGGTTCCTGACATCGCTGTCCAGGGCTGCTCTGCACACCCTGACCCTCTCCCCTTGACTTCCCCATAATAACCACGCAGAGTGGACGGCCACTGGCTTGCTGACCATAAGCTGGAATTTTCCAATCACAAGACTCATGAAAGATAAAGGCAAAACACATGACGAAGAGCAGGCTGGCTGGTCTGTGGGAGGAGGGAGGCAACTCGTGAGTGAGCCGAAGCCCTGCGCAGGCCCGGCCATGCTGGGGCAGGGACTGCGCCCTTCCAACATGTCCTGCCTGACTCCTCCCAGTTGACATTGGAAAATTCTGTCTAATGTGCTCAGTGCTCAGAAGCCGTTTCTGGTGCCTACCAGATACTCTTTTGTGTGCAACTAACTCACTAACAGGCACCTGATTTGACCCTCAAACAGCCCCCCTTTATAAGGAAGGGGGTCTCCATTATAAAGATGGAAAAACACAGAACCTCAAAAAGAGCCAGCAATTTGCCTGACATTATTGGGCTTGTAAGTGGCAGAGAGGGGCTTGAAACCAGATCTGCTCCCAGTCAGTCCATAACGCCACCCAAAACTGGTGTTATTCCCCCACCACGCAGGAGCCCTGTAAAGACCTGAACCGAAGGCGGGAGGTGGTGGGGAAGAGCAGGAGTGAGAGCGAAGGTCCTAACCAGGGGCTGCCGAGACATGGATCAACTGGAGGACATGCTCAGGAAAAGGCTACCATTTTTTACCTATTACATGAGCAAAATCCAAATCTGATAATACCTTCTGTTGACAAGGCTGAGGGGACACAGGTACATTCCTGATGGAGTGTAAAAGGCAGTGTCTGTGAAAATTACAAACTAATCCACTCTCTGGCTCAGCAGTTTTGCTTCTGGGTATTTACTGAACAGAGATAACGGCACAGAACTGAAAGACCACACACGCAGGGGTGCCTATAAAACACTGCACTCCGATGTCCATTAAATATAGGGCTGATTAAATAAACTATGGTATGTTCATACAATGGAAAAAGATGTCACAGGGGGAGAAAGAAAAGAAACTGATATGAAAAGATCTCCTCCAAAACTAGGTAGAGAATAGTGTACTTATACTAGCTTTTGTGGAAAGAGGTGGGGGAAATAAGAAATAAAATTTTAAAACATGCAGGTGCACATTGCTTACAGATGCATGTAAAAACATTTGAAGAATACACAAGAAAATAATTATGGCTATAGGGTGGACAAGACTTCATACTGTACACACCCTACAGATTTTTTTAATTCTTTTTTTAAAACTATAGTGTATTTTTTATTGTATTTTCCCCATTATCATTTATCCCTCTTAGGCCGTCCTTCCGCCACCACCTACTCCCCTCCCCCCTACATGTTATATACTTCTTAACCATAAAAATAGATTATCTATTCAAAAATTAATGTTAAAAAGCCTGAAAAAGGCAGGCTCTGCACAGGCTCCCTTCTCTAGCCAGCCTGGCTGCTCTGCACGCTCCCCGTCCACACACGGGCCTGGCCCCCTTCTCTGCCACCTCCTCTGGGCAGCATTCAGGCCTGTGGCCCCTAGGAGGTCTTCTGTGAGGTCGCAGAAGACCAGCCCGAGGCATCGTGCTTTGCTGTGGGTTTTGGAAGATGTAAATATAGCTTTGAACTATTTGTTTCCTTCTCTCTTGATAAAGACGACAAGAATATTTTACACTGCGTCCCAGAGCGACTAAATAACTGGCCAAAGGTCACTCAGGACAGCGCTGGGGCTTGAACCAGCTCTGAGGCCTGTCCACACCCATTCTCCTCACTGCCTGCATTTTGCCTCCCGTTACAGGTCCTGGCAACTTTAGTCCCCGAGGAAGAGGGGCAGTGTTCCCTCCGCCTCCCTTATGCCCTAACAGAGCTTGGTGCTCGGTGACAGGCAATTACATGCTATAGGAAGGAAGGGAAGGAGGGAGGGGATGAGGAGGAGGAGAAAGAAGGAAGGAAGAAGAAAAAGGGAAGGATGGGAGGAGGGGTACTCACTCCTGCAGAGACGGGTCTGAATCATCAGCATTGGCTGTCCCCAGGTCTGAGTCGTATGACATGGGCTCCTCCGAGTGGTCTGGGCTCTTGGAACCATTCTCCTGCAGCGGGAGGCTGTCGGAGTTCAGGCTGCAGGACAGCTGGGACGAGCTGGCCGTGTCCAGGCTGAGGGATGAGGCAGTGAGCTGCCTGTTCCGTTGGATCTTATGGCCCGAGTGCTGGACTTCGATGTCCTCTGAGCCTGAGGAATGGGAAATGGAATCCAGAGACTCCTTCCGCTGGAGTTCTGTACCAGAGGGAGTGAGGGGGTCGAGCTCAGAGAGTGGGCAGAGCCCGGAGAGGGCCAGCGGGGTGAGCGTCCACTCGTTCAAGATGGCTGACTTGTAGGAGAGTTCGAAGGACAAGGACGTGAGCCCCTGCAGGAAGCTGAGGAGGAACTCGCTCTCCTCCACGTCCCGAAGCAGGGCGGTGGGCTGGTAGTACTCGCACAGCTGGGCCGGCTCCTGGAGGAGCAGCTTCAGGTAGCACTCCATGAGGCCGTCGTTGAGGGCCAGGCGCAGCCAGGCGCGGCAGCGGCCCACGTCCGTGCTGACAAAGACCAGGTGCTCCAACTCCGAGATGATGTGTCTGGGAACAGGGAGGACAGGGGTCTCTCAAGGAATGACTTGGAATCACTGAGATGACATTTTATACACTGCTTGGCGAGAGCCAATAACAAGAACTGCAAATCTAGACAGCCGTGAGAACCTCTCGGATAATAGTGTTTTAAGGGGAATTGTGAAATATTAAATGTTAGTCCCCAACTTTTTGAGGTTGTTGTCATAAAAAGTTAGTGGCTATTTTTGTTACAACTACCCCTGGGGCCCCTGATACTATCTGATTGTGTCAAAGACATGTTTACTGTGCTCTCAAGTGCAAGGTCCTCGGAGCTGTGAAGACACAGGATAAAGAGACATGGCCCCTGCCCTCTGTCCAGGTAACTGCCTTTCAAGGGCACACCTGTTGTTAGTAAAAGAAATGCCACCGTTAGTAAAAAATGTCATAGAAGGGGCAGTATCCGAGCTGGGCCTTGTGGTATTTCAACAGGCAAAGACAGAAGAACTTTCCAGGCACATGGAACTAGTAGGAAAAAAAGGCATAAAGGGTAGGAAAGCAGCAGACCTGTAACCAAGTGGGAAGCACCCCTACTACAACACTGGGAACATGGGGAGGGGGAGGGGGTGATTCGGGGGCAGAGCCAGGAGCCTGGCGAGGCAAAGTGCGGCACTGCTCCCCACACCGAGCTGTGCCTCAGGGTCACCGGGGGAACTCGGGCCGGATACAGATTCTGGGGCCCCAACCGAGTGAATCAGACTCCAGGCTGGCATTTGGAAGCCTGTGGGTTAAAGGTTTTTGCATAGGAAAGTGATTTGACCTCAGCTATGCAGACCTCAGGGTGGGTCGCTCTGGATAGGCTGAGACCCCGGGCGCACCACACGCAGTTTCTGAACCCTCTGATGAAACGCCCCTCCTGTGACTACCAGTCCCCTGCTCATGTCTCCGCATGGACGGTGGGCCATGCTCTGCAGGACTTAGTGACTGGCTCCAGTTAACTGAAGCTCAATAAATGTTAAGAAAAGAAAGAACGAGATAAGGGGGACAATTAAGACAGCCACTGTCACCCAGGAGCGAGGCAAGAACCTGAGATAGGGCAGTGGCAGAAGGCATGGAAAGGGAGATCAGAGACTGACAAGGCACCTTTGGGCTGAAGGTGGCATTTAATAGCCCTCAGAGGCACAGTGCCAGCTGCCTGCTCCAAAGCCCAGACAGTTAGGGGCAGGGCCACAAAGACAATGTCTCACAGTGAATATTCAGACGTTCTACCTGGATTCCACTCTTATTTAAAAAAACAAACAAACAAAAAACAACCCTACTTCATTATAATACGTAGCATAGAGATGTTCAAACACTCTTAAGGTGGGGTCAGCAAACTTCTGCAAAGGGCTGGACCGTCAAGATTTCAGGCTTCGCAGGCCTCCCGACCTCTGATGCAACTACTGAATTCTGCCAGGGTGTGGCAAGAGGACGGCACCTGCCGAAGGGACCAGCCCGGAGGGTGGAAGCAGTCCCAGGCTGTGACGTGAGGAGTGAGGGGCTGAAGAGCCTCGGTCTAACCATAACCCCTACCTCAGCCATCTCTGTTCTAGCACAGAGCGCGCCGGCTGCTGTCCCGTACAGCTGGAGCTGAGAGCCCAGCGTCCCGCCCTCCAAAGCGCTCCCCCAGAGCAAAGCCGCCCCAGCTGGTCTCACTTGTGGGTGACAGCTTTCAGGAGGGGCCAGAAGACAGGCTGAGGCAGGGGCTTCTGGTAGGCGCTCTTCTTCCTTTTGCCCCCGGCCTCGGCCCGGATGTGCTTGGCATGTAGGCCGTGGATGAACACGGCCTCCAGGGCGCTGCACATGCTGTTGGCATCTCCGTCTTCGCTGGTGACCACTGTGTCTGAGGACACGTACTGCTTCTGCAGCGCCTTCATGGACCCCACCAGCTTCTTCTTGATGACCTAGGCAAGGCCAGACGTAACACAGGCCTTTAGAAGATCCTATGGCGTCCTCTGGAATGTAACTCTGCCCATCGCGAAATACATGCACGACGACACACGCACACACCTGTATGTATGTGTCTGTATATGCCTGATGTAAAACGAGCCCATGCTAATTATAGAAAATGAAGATAAAGTACACAGAAGAGGCCCTGGCTGGGTGGTGCAGTTGGTGATAGCATCATCCCCTTACACCAAGGTTGTGGGTTTGATCCCTGGTCAGGGGCACATACAAGTAGCAACCAATGAATGCATAAACATGTGGAACAACAAATCAATACTTCTCTCTCTCTCTAAAAGAGCAAAGATTTTTAAAAAATTAAAAATGAAGTGTACAGTTCAATGGTTTTTGGTATACTCACAGATTTGTGTAACCGTAACCACTATCTAATTTTAGGACATTTCATTGCCCTAAAAAGAAATACTGAACCCTATTCCCTCCCCCCTAAACCCTGCCAACCACTAATCTACTTTGTCTCTAGGGACTTGCCTGTCCTAACAGTACATATAAATGGAGTCATACAATAGGCAGCCCTTTGTGCCTGGCTGCTTTCAATTTAGCATGTTTTCAAAGTTCCACTATGATATAGCATTCTTCATGTAGCAGGACTTCATTGCTTCTTATGCCAAATAACATTCCATTGCACGGATATACCACTTTTATTTACCCATTCATAGATTAATAAACATTTGGGTTGTTTGCATTTTTGGGCTATAATGCTGCTATGAACATTCATGCACAAGTTTTTGTGAAGAAATATGTCATATGTTTTTAATTCTTGTGCCTATGTACCTAGAAGCGGAGTTGCTGCGGCATATGTAGCACTGTGTTTAACTTTTTGAGGACCTACCAAACTGTTTTCCACAGTGGCTGCTCCATTTGACATTCCCACCAGCAACGTGTGAGGGTTCCAGTTTCTCCACGACCCCACCGACACTTACTATGTCTGCTGTTTTGGTTTAGCCACCGTAGGGGGTGTGAAGAGCTGTCTTGTTACGGTTTTGATTAGCATTTGTCTAATGTCTCATGATGGTGAGCAGCTTTCTGTGTATTTGCAGAACTTGTATATCTTCTTTGGAGAAACCCTTAGTCTTCAGGTAACCTATACTGAATTCCAACTGTCCTTTTGTGAATTCTCACTGTATCACAATAAGATGATCTAGAAAGGGCAGGACCTCCTCAGAGTTTGCTTCTGCTGTGACTTTTTCTCAGCCCGAGGCCTCTCTTACCCAACAGTGTCCACACGTTTCAAAGTGAGAAACACCAACGCAATGGCTGTCCCGGGCACCCCTTCCCCACCGTCGCTCCCCCTTGCCACCTACCGGGATGGCAGCCCGGGGGTCCAGTCCATTTTCCACCACTGAGAGCATTTCCACTCACACAGTCGCTTCCAGAGAGAACCGCATGACACCTGCTGAGACAGGCGGCCGGGTGAGCAAGCTCCCAGCTCACCCCCTCAACACCCCCTCACCCATTCCCCACCCCCAAGGGGGCCGCATGAGGTCAGCCCATTTTACTCAAACTGCAACTGAAAGAAAGGCCTTTGAATACAAAAGTAAAACTGAGAGTGCATTTTCTGGAAGGAAACAAGGAAGGAAAAAAGTCTGAGAGCCGGGCCTTGGGAGGTGAGGAGGCCTGGGGAGCGCCCTGGGCGGATCCACCCCACGGAGCGGCTGGAGCGGGCTCTTCCCTCCACGCTGAACGCGGGCCCAGGACACAGGGGACGGAAGGCGGGTGACTGAGGTGCAGAGCCGAGGGGCCGCCAGAGCGGCAGCCGCAGGTGCAGGTGCAGGTGCAGAGGGCCCTCAGGGACCAGGAAGCAGGCCCCAGACATCACAGTCGGGCGGCGCCTCGCAGTCGCCCTTCTGACTCCTTCCAGCCCAGTGAAAAGTGCAAGCGAAAGGGCTTCCAAAGGGGGACTCTCTGCTTACACATCTCCTTCTCCTCTGGGCTGCGAGGGACACGTGAAGGGGAACAGCACAGGTTCTCATCTCGATTTGCCCTTAACCGGCGAGGCGCAGGGGGACACTATCACGCTGCTCAGATGGAGGCCATGACTGTGGAAAATGCCTCGGGCAGGGCCTAATGTACCAAGGACAAATGGCATCTATAATGCCAGTGGGTGTGGCCACTGAATTTACAGGTGAAGAATGCCACCGCCTGAATCAATGCGCATGGGTCGGTGGAGTCGGTACACGGGAAAACCCCTCAGGCAGCGGGCTCCCTCCCGGGGTGGCTGGGGGTGAGGGGGTGGGGGTGGGGCTCGGGGCTTAGTCTGAGGGGCTGCCGGCTGGCCTGCCCGCCCCAGCCGCTTGCACAGCCCAGGACCAGGCAGACACATTCACACCTAAACAAATCTCGAGTGACCCCGCAGCTGGGCATGAGGGACACCAGAAATAAAAGGTTACTGCTGTCTCTGCTCCCCCAAAACTCGTGGCCTAAAGAAGTTAATGAAACCAAGGCCTGCTCAGTGGATTTTGCACCGCCCCTGGGACAATGCCCACCTCAGCTCACAGGGGACCCCCGACTCCTGAGTGAGTGCAGTCGCGTCTCTTCTGGAAGAGACAGGTGTGAGCTAGGGCTCAGGGGTGGGGGGAAAGGAGGCAGAGAGGAGGAGGGGGCAGCGGGGCCTGGGGGAGGACCCTCCAGCTGGGGGCCCTGGTGGAAAAGGCTCTGATTCGATCCCTGGCCTCTGGAGTTGTCAGAGGGTAAACGGGACCCAGAATCAACCTCTCTGAGGGCGATGAGGCCGCGCCCGCCCTCGGCATAGCGTGCGGACCACCAGGAGCAACACCGGCCAGGCTGCGGCCCCTGACTGCCTGCCTCACCCTTCACCCATCTTCCTACTCCCACCTACCCAGGATCCTCAGGGCCCTTCTTGGAGAACAGCTCCACGCTGTGGCTACCAGGTGACAGGAAGAGAGGTATGTGCTGCGGTCAGAGTCCCTTTAAAAAATGTGCCTGATCCTGGAGGCTGGGCTCCTTCTAGGCTACCTCCCTGAGCCCAGCAGGCCAAGTCCAGGGTCCCTGGCTCCACGGCCCTGAGCGCTCTCCCCGGTCAGCGATTCCAGCCCTCAGGCCAGCCCTTCTGCACAGAACTGCCCTTCCCCCAGCCAGCCACAAGGCCAGGCCCTTAAGAGCTTAGACCTCACCAATCGGAACCACAGCCTGGGTCCATTAAGGCCCATTAGGGGAGGGAGGCTTAGCAACAAGTGGGTACTCTGGCCAAGCGCAAGTCTACGGAAAACCCAAAGTAAACTGACGCTGAGGGGTCAGAGCAGAGTCAGAGAAGACACAGATAACCGTTGCCTAAGACAAAGTGTCAGTAAAGCCACGAAATGACAATAGCGTAGATGAATCCAGGAGAAAAGCCACTGGACAATTCACAAAACAGGACTGGGACTCCGGGGCTCAGGCCACCGTTCAGAGCATACCTTTCGTCACAGTAGGCAGAGCACCCTCCCTCTGGTGCGTGTTCCCCAACACCTCATAGAGGCAAGACACTGGCTCCGAGGTGGGGATCCGCCAGCCTCTGACTGAGAACTCGATGGAAGCAGACGGGGCCCTGGGTCTCCTGCCTGCTGAGTCATGCTGAATCATTCTCCTGGTGGCCCAGACACCAACCTACCATCCTGTGGGGCTGGATTCACTCCCTGTCCTCAGAACAGTCTTCACTGACACCAAGAACCAAACCAAAGAGAGATGTGGCTTCAAGGAGACCTCGGCTGAAGGGACTAAGGACAGAACTTGAGCGTCAATGCAGTTTAGCAGAAAAGGTGACTCTGCCTCTTAGGAGACTCCAAACCCTGCTAAGTCAGCCTCTCCCCCTAAGTACTGACTCACCCTGACACTGCTCTTCAAGCTTCTCTCATCCCATTAGCTCCTACAACAGTCCTGGGAGACAGTTTTATAGAGAAGACCAAGGCTCAGTACATGGTTTCTTTATGCCAAATCCTGTGCCTTTCACCAGGCACACCTGCCTCAGGTCTTTGGTTCAAAAAGTTTCAGGCAAACGTAATACTTGCCAACGCTTAAGAGGCACTCAGAAACCTCATTTATCAAATAAGGCTTAAAATCAACAAGAAATAATCTTGCCGATCAGCTCTGCAGTCCCAAGAAGCTGGGGCCAAGTTCTTTCCATGCTATGAAGGAATTGTTCCGGTTGTCCTTCACTCTACTGCCTTGCCCTCTAAACATGTCCAGTTTCACTTCCCCCAGAAACCAAGGAAGAAAGAAAAGAGAAAAATGGATTACATGAGACTTACATTAAAAGAAGAAATAGATGAGCCGGCCTCACTGCTTTTGAAACACTCTGTCCATCAGTAAACAGCAACCTCCTCTCCTTAGAGACTTCTCAGCCATTCCCAACAGCCTCCTCTCTGCAGCCTGACTCTAATCCTGTACCTGGCTGCTCAGGACAACAGCCTGGTGTTTACCATCCAGCCACTAACAGTATCAATGGATGAATCATGGTTTCCAACTGGAAAAAATAAAAATGACAAAGTTATCTTCTGATTCAGAAAGGCAGCTGATCTTTCAGCCATGTGAGTGATGAGTGAGTAAACAGCACCTCCTCCTACCTGGAGAAGATTGGATTTCTGGCCCAGCATCCTATAGCAGGTGTGCTGGGGGAACGAGGCCTTTGAAGCAACTGGGTACCAGCTGGCAGGAGAGACTCTTCTAGCTCATGATTCCCAGACCAAGGGCTGGTGGGTGGGCCAGAAATGTGTGGTCGGTTAACACTGGCTATCTTATCCCTCCCCCTTTTCTTTCCATCCAATAACAGCCATCTCCCCCATATTCTTGTCCCATATCCCTTAGGATTCTAGCGAGGGTCAAACTCTGAATGCATAAAAACTGGTACTTTGTGCAGCTCATTCACCATTGTATTTCCAGTGTCTAGAACAGTGCATGGCACATGGTGGTGCTCAGAAAATACTCGCTGAATGAACTGAGGAATAAAATAAAAATAAGGCTCGGGGAGGGTACCTCCATTTCGTAAACTGGGAAGGTACAGTATACAATTCTTCAGAGGTAAGAGCTCATTCAACTAAACCAAGCAGCCAGGAGGCTGACAACCACTCAGACCTATCACACCTTACTGGGGAGATACTGGGGGTAGAAGAGCATTCAATTTTCAAAGGAACAAGGCTATAAAAGGCAAGTAAAGACAATGGTCCTGTTTGGGGCCCTTTACAATTGCTGTCATCTGCCCTGGCTGGTGTGGCTCAAAGGATTGAGTGTCGGCCTGCGAACCAAAGGGTCGCCGGTTCAATTCCCAGTCAGGGCACCTGCCTGGACTGCAGGCTAGGTCTCCAGTAGAGGGCACACGAGAGGCAACCACATATGGATGTTTCATAAAATCTTTAAATTGCTGTCATCTGGCCAACCCCCTGATACCAGGTCACCAGAATTTGTCACCAGAATTGGGAGGGAACATGTACTCAAAAAGCCCAGATTATAAATGCTAAGCATGCAGCCTGAGTGCCTCAGGATGTCCCTGTGCTTCAGCTACTCTAACTCAGCTCCCTCTGTTCACAGGCAACCACGGAGGCCAAAAGTCAATGATGCAGCCCCTGCAAAAAGAGGAAGCGATTCAACAGCCTCCATACCCACCTGGTTCTCAGCCTCCTCAGGACCCGCTCACCGACACTCTTTACAGCATGTGACATCACCTCTGGCACCCATAGTCTTCCCTGTGACCAGTGCTGGGACTGATCTGTTCTCAGATGCGGCACAGATGAGCTCTCTGTGAGGGTCCTTTCCAAGCACTAGGAAAACACACGTGGATTTGGTTCTGTAACCCCAGGCAATCCTGCACAGTGTTACTTTCTGAGCTTCTTCAGGCCAGAAGACCAGCCAAAAGGAAGTGCTGGTTTCTGTTGCCCCAGCCTGAGTGAGCTGGATGAGTGGCCATTCCTCACCTTCCAGGTATTTGGAAGATACCTACCATTCCACAGCACAAGTAATTTCATATGAATGCTAGAATCATAATCCCTGGGGACAGAAAGAGGGGACCAGACACCCAGGCAAGGCCCCTGACCCAAAGGGGAATCTTGTCTCCTCCACACTGACTTAGCATGTGAGGCCTTGCACGCACCAGTCAAGCTGTTCAGTCTCACACAGCGGAGGTGAAAGGATATGGAGACCCCATTTTAAAGAAGATTGGTTGAGAGTGGTAGGAACTGGTGGCAGCAAGAGCTGGGGCAGGGAGAGAGGATGTCCTCAGGATGATTGGAGTTGGAAAGGAAGTATATGATAGGCTAGGAAGTTAAGGGTTGGGCCTCTGAGGACAAGATACATACAAGACCAGGACAGGACTGTGATCAGTTATCAAGAAGAAAGATCTGAGCTCAAAGTACATCTACTTTGGTGGTGGGTCTTAAATGAGGGTGGGACAGAGATGGGCTGTTCAGGATGAGCTGACCTTGGGGAGCTGAGGAGGGGGCTGTGGGAGACTGGGATAAGAAAGCTGATCCAGAAAAAACAAACCAGAATGATAGGTCTCAAAGAGATTTGCGTGGAGTATTAGGATTGCCAAAGGGGCTGACGGGTGAGGATGAGGTGTGTTAAAAGGGAGGCGGAGGAATGTGGCTGAGACCGGGTTGGAACTGGGCTCGAGTGGGGTCAAGGGTGAGACTGCATTTATGCAAGACCGGTGGTGAGGGGGAGGCGGTGAGGGCTGGAGACAAGTCATGGGTGGGAGAAGAAAGAGAGGACTGCCCAGCTGTGGCAGTGCCGGCCAAAGGCTTGGATCGGAGTGGGAAGTTGGGGCACGGTGTTTGGGGCAGGGAAGGGTGCAGGCTCTGAAGGAGGGCAGTCTGGAGTCAAGCTGGGGTTTGGGATCACGGCGAAGGCTGGCCCAACGCACGTTCGCGTCTCGGCCCGCCGCCCCTCCGCTGCCCTCCACGCCCCAACCTCTAACTCACCAAAGGGAGGGGGGAGCGCGGCGCGGGATTCTCCCGGCCACAGCAGCCCCAGAAGATCAGACACGACCTGCGGCCTCCGGGTTACAGACAACACCAAGCTGCGCCCAGGGCGCCTGACGCCATCACGTCGGCTCAGTGTCCAGCCCCGCCCCCCGCTCGCGGAGCCTATCGCGGAGCCAGGGGGAGCCGCGGGGCGGGGCGGGGTACGGCGGGGCGGGGCTAGCGCTCCCAGACACCCAACGGTTCCCAGACCCGGAGAGGCTTCCGGAGGCTCCGGGTCGGTTAGTCTAGGGGGGGTTCGGAGAGCCCGGCGTAGGGCGGAGCGCGTCCTCGTTGCCCGTTTCCCACAGTGTCTGCGTCCGAGTAGATCCTGGCGTCCGGGTTCCCGACGTCGCCTGGCCTCTGATTTGTCTGCGTAGCTTTGGGGCTCCTTCAGCGAAGGTTGTCCACTTGTCAAATGTGACCAATGACGCCAACCCTCTGTTCATCCCTGACATGGCGTCAGCGTAGCCTGGGAGGCAGAGCTCAGGCCCAAGTTGTAGTCTCCCGCCTGTAGGCTCTCAGGAAAAACATACACGTTTTGACCACATCTTCCTCCAAAGGGAAGCGCCTAGAGACCCCTTGAGCATTCTCCTGTAACCCGCCCATCAGCGGGAAACAAAAGGCTCAAGAGACCAGCCATAAAGATAAGTGTTTAATTTCCTTGTAAAAGAGACATTTCTCTTTCAAATTGATTCAAAACACGACCGCTCTGGGGGTGGTTTGGGGGGAGTAGAGGAGTCGAGCAAAAATTTTTTTTAAAAATTCATGGACATGGACAACAGCGCGGTGATTGTGGGGGACGGGTGCAGGTGGAAGAAGGTATAGAGGTAATGGGGAAAAAATACAATAAAAAATGGAATAGCCACATTGTAACTTCCTAATGTCATTTTCCCTGATTTACCCTACTTTGATCCTGAGACCGGTTTTTGGCTGAAATGTAATTTTATCAGGGTAAATAGCTTCACAGAATTTTTTTTTTTTTTTTTTTTTTTAAGTAGCAGGGGGCATACTGCGGCGCTTCCCAGACGGGAGCACTGCCAGCCAGCTGGCACCGAGTGTGAGCAGGGATGCGGAGGCCCGGCTGGATGCAGGGCCGGGCTGAGGAGCAGGCCAGTTCTCAGGCGTAAGCTGCACTGATCTCTGCCCGGACGCCTGTGCTCCCTCTGCCTTTCCGGGAAGGAAGGTGTCCCTCATGTCTCCAGGAAGGTTGAGGTCCCAGTGCCAGTTTCTACTTGTAAAATCAGCCCTTGTAGTGCGGCTCCCGGCATGGTAATTCTCTCTCCAGGAGTGAAAACCTCCCCTCCTAGGTCAGTGGAGTGAGTGCTAAGTGCCTTCACTACAGTTAATGATTGAGCAGGAAGATTAGAAATAAAAACTTAGTAAAATATGAGAATCTCTGCCCTAACCTAGGAGATGAGGGGTCAGGGATTTAACATTCATGGAAAACAGTTCCTACTGTTTGCCAGGTGGAAACTGTGATTCGTCCTTACCAGCCAGCTGGAAGGTGGTGCCTTTGATATCCCATAGTACAGATAAGAAAACAGGCTTGAGAGAAGCAAGTTGGGGCCCAGGGCTGCACACGTAATAAAAGGAAGAGGCAGGATTCTCACAAGGCTCTTTCTGATTCTAGTTGGCGAGAGGTAGCATAGTTCCCTCAGTAACTGAGTGAGTGGGCTTTAGAACCAGGAATGCTTAGGTTCGAATCCCAGCTCTACCCCAAGCTGTTTTCTGGGCCTCCCTAAACAGGGGCCTAGAGCAACTGCCACAGTGTCTGTATTTTTTGTAGGTCCCTTGAGATAGTGTTGAGGATAGACACTTCTCAACGGAATTTAATGTTCAGGAAAGGAAAGTCATGTCACACCACCCACAGCCCCTGAGCCTCAGGAAGAGAGATCAGTGTGTACTAACTCAGAGAAGTTTCAAAAACCCTCTGAGGCTCAGTTCCTCATCTGTAAATTAGGGAAGATATCAGTTGATGTGAACATTAAATAATGACCTTAGGACAATTTTTGGTCTGTAGCAAGTACTTGATGATGATGATGATTATGAGTTATTATTATTACAGTTCTAGCAATTGTCACCTCTTCAAGCCAGTCACATCTTGCCCAAAACTGCCATTCTGAACATTGGAGTGAGATCCTTTCTCTGACTGAAGTCAGGCAGCCACCTCTCTTGATACTAGAATAGCTAGTGTTCTTCTCGGTTTTGTTGTAGGAAGCTGGGTTTGCCCATACTCTTTTTAAAAATGTATTCAAAAGTTTTTACTATTTATCAATTATTCCTCAATAAATCTAGAAAAAGATCAAAGACAATGAACTAAAACAAACAAACAAATAAAATTTATTGTACACGTAGTTGAATACAATTTGCGGGTAGCCTGGGGATGGGGTTCGCTCGGTGGCAGTGTCCTGTGCTGCGACTCACCTGTCTCCTAAGCAGCTGAGTCGGTAGCAGCGACCTTTAACACTGCGAATTCACCGCGCAACCTGGGGCAAGAGGGAGAAGGCCAAGGTTTTCCCTTTTGAAAGGAACAATCACACTATTCATTATTTCCCCATTTTAGACAGGAATTCTAAATTGTTCCCAATCATTTACATTTTGTAGAACAGCTCATCCTCAACAGGTGAATCTCTGTCATGTAGCTTCTGTGCCATGTTTTCTATGCACGTGGCACTGAGCGGTCTGTGCAAATCCCTGAGCCACAGCGGCGGTCTTCCGCAGGGGCTGCACCCCTGGGAAACAGACAGGGGAATATTAGGTCTGTGTCTCCCCTGCTTTGTTCCACCACAGAGTCCCTTACCCTCTTCAAATGTACCTTCATCATGTGTTCCGCTGAGCATCTCTTATGCCAGAGAATTGAGAAAAAGCCCCTGGAAGGAATCGAATAGTGACAATTGGTAATTTATGCCGTTCTCCACGTCTCTCACAATGTACAGCTTTGGTCTTATTAGGACTCAATGGGTAACTGGGTCCATACACACAAGCAAAATCACCACTCACCCTCTTGGCCAAGTGCCCTTGGGCAGTGAAAAAAAACCACACACAAACCCCACCACCGCGCTGGGCAGAAGCAGTTTACTCTCTCTAGAAGCATTTTACACCGTTTGCTTGGGAGGAGGGAGAAGGCGCTTTTATTTTCCTAGCTGCTTTATCCTACAAGTTGAGTCACACCAACTAAATGCCTGAGTCCAAACAGCGAAGCTAGCTAGCGCGCTACCTTCCGTACGCAAGCCATCACTGCCGGCTGAGTGAGTTGTGAAATCAGTTTAAAGGTCAGACCAGCGCTAAAATGCAAAATATCCTTTGTGAGTACAAACAAAATAGAAAAAGCAATCAGAATGCATAATGAGTTTGTTTTAGAAATGACTGATGTCCATATGGTGTGCGTGTCCTGAGTTGTGACAGAAAAGGCAGCTCACGGCCCGACCTCGGTATCATCAGTGGAGAAGTCCCCAGATGGGAAGGAGCCATCTCGTTTCTGACACTCCCTAGCAGTGTGACCATATTTTCCCTTTCCTCTTCTCCACTTCCTTATTGTTAAAGGAGAAGACAAACTACTGTCTAAGGTCCCTCCCAGTTAAAATTCTATGAGGGTTGGATAAAGGGAATGGAGAGAATCGTGGCCTGAAAACAAGCAGCATGAGAAGGGCAAGTTTTCCTGCCACTTTGCAGGAAGGGTTTCCGTGTTCTCCCTTTCCTCAGCCTTGAAGGAGGATGGCACCCTTCCCCTAGGACCATGCGGTCTTCCCCACCCCTTCCCCAGAGCCCCCACTGCTGGCAGGAACAGGAACAACCAAGGCCTTTCCCTTTGTGCCCTGTTTCCTTAACGGACCAGTGACAGCAGACGCCTCTGTGCCAGCCCCGTTCTATCTTTGGCTAGGGAGCTACATTGCAATATCTAGGCAAAGCATCAGGGTAAGTAAGTATTCTTTCCCAATGTGGTGGTGTTCTCACTGTAAAATGAGGAAATTGAAATAGATGGGTTCTAAGTTCTCCTCTAGCTCCCTCCCGGGATGTCTGTTTTTCTGTGCGACCTCCTCTTCGGGTTTAGGAACAATCTACTCTTTCCCAGCACCAATCATCTCTGCGTGGCAGGGAGAGCTCACATACGGGCTAAGCAGCCACTGAGCTCTGTAGGTTCTGCTCTGGATCTTGGGAGCTTTGTTCATCTGGACGTGCTCAATGACCAGAGAATCTATGTCCAAACTCTTTAGCTCTGCATTACTTTTTGCATTTTTAAGCACATGCGGCAAAAATTCAGCAGTCTTTTTGGGCCATCGGCCTGCGTCCAGCCCATTCTTTGGCCTGGGCACACCTACCAGCTCCACCATTGTAACAATTCCACCAGTAACATCCTTCAGATACTTGGTGGCTTTTCAGATATGCAGACCCTTGATGGCCTGGGCAGTTTCACGGGTGTGCTTCAAGTGGACGTGAAAACTTGAACCTCTTGATTTGCAAGACTTTGTGCAATTTCCTGGGTCCAGTGAATGACGAACCATTTTCAGAGGCCACCTGAAGCTGCTTACAGGAAGAAGCAGCTGCTCTAGTTCTAAAATTCTACTTTAAAGGGTCAGACTAATGTTTACCTTGAGCTTCCTTCTTTACTTCCCTTTGATGATGGTCTCCGACAATGAATCTGTTTTGGAAGAAAGCAACATCATGATTATTCACCGCAAAGACCGCTATCTCTAAATCTTTATTAGTTCCCTTTTAAGTGAGATCAAAACTTTTCTGAGGACAGGAATTCTGTTTACAGTCCTTTGATTCTTTCATAGTTCCTAACTTAGGATCTTGCATACAGCTGGCAAGGTCTTTTATTGGTTGTTTTAGAGAACATTTAGCAGATAATTCCTAATAAAAACTCTTAGAAAAGAAAAGAAAAGTATCTACCAGAAACCTACAGAGCAGCTTTGTTTTAAGGTCAAGAACAAGGGTAGAATGCCTATTGTTACTGCTACTATTCATCATCATTGAGGAAGTCCTACTCACTTTAATAAGAAAAATGAAGTATTGGGAAGAAAGAGACAAAATATATTTGCCTATGAGATGATGCAAAACTTAAGAAGCCCAAGAGCATCAACTA